AAAATCTTACTTATCGCACAAACAACAGCGTTTTGTATGTAACAAAATAGACAAAAATAATAATATGACATCATACTCATCCAAATATAGATTTAATAAATATGGAGTACCGCAAGGAAGTGTGTTAAGCCCAATATTATTTTTATTTTATATAAATGACATTACAAATATATTTGACCATTAATATGTCTTATTTGCGGACGATATTAATTTTGATACTCCAATTGTTTTTGTACGAAATATCTATAAATATATAAAATGAGTCGTGCTGCTGGATCTGCTTATGGATATGGTGGCTTTAGTTGTTAGTTGTTAAGTATTTAATAATAGTTCTAAGCTATATATATTTCTCTGTACTTATTGTTATACATGTATTAATATATGCTGTGTTTGCCTATAAAAAATTGTTACACTTAGTTCTAAGCTCCATAATTGTATATATATTTACATTATTTTGTGGAAACAATTGTTGGTAAACCTAAATAAATAAATAAATAAATAAATAAATAAGATATTTCTGTCATTGTGATTACTGATAGGAAAAATAATACTATTATGAATCATGAGAATCAAATTAATAATACAATTGATAAAATAATAAAATGGTCAAGTCTTAATAATTTACGAATTACATTACAGGCTCACGTATACACATACATACACATAAATAATTTGCAAAATTGCCGCGAGGAAGTGACAGGAGATTCTAGGTTTGTCGTCGAAACGTTACGGTAGTACCGTGACGACGAGCACGACCACGTTATTATCGTAGAGAAAGCTTAAAAACGTCTCCATTGACGTAATATGGGTCAAAAGCCACATCGGTATTACTGGCAATGAGGCTGCAGATGTCGCAGCCGGCAAAGGATGCCATCTGTATAAAAAACCTGACTATGACAGGATTACTAATCAAATCCCTCTATAAAAAGGAAACTCACCATAAGTGAGAAGAGCAGTATTTTTTTTTATACAACTTAGAATGCCAAACAAGCTGACAGCCCACCTGATGGAAAGTGGTAACCGTCGCCTATAGACATGAGCAGTACCATGGACATAACAGAGTATACTGTTTCGTTCATGATAAACCCCATGCGTTGCCATTCATGAGGACTCAGATGTTATTCCTTAGTACCCAATAAATTCGCGCAATATCCCACCCTTCAAACCGAAACACAGCCATGCAAACACAACTGCTTCACGGTAGAAACACGAATGGGACAGAGATACCCAAGCAATCGACTTTTGTACAAAGTCTCCCTCTGGTGAATATATATCATTTCTGAACACGAGGAAGATCCTTCCTAATCTCGATGACATAAGTAACCCATTTGCTGGTGTTGAAAGGTCGTTCCACCTCACACAGCTGCTCACGGGACATAGATGCCACAAGAGTAGTCTTAAACGATTAGAAACCACATAACGGATAATTCCAGGTGTCCATGCGATGGCTTCAGTGAACAAATTTTGGAACATGTTCTGCAAAGATCGTCTCGAATACAAACAAAATTGCTGAGTACACGGAATTGATACTCCCTTTGACCTGAGTCACCACTCGGAAGCCTGGTGTACTAGCTTTTTTTAGTTCACTAACAAGAACTGTCGTGCAAAACCTTAAAAAATAAACGGCACCTAATTATATTAATGCGACTGACTACTATATCCTTTATATGTATAGTTTATATATATTATATGTTATTTTCGTATCTATATATATTTTGTAAATAAATTATTTATAAATACATAACTTTGTACGAAATAAATTCCATTTAACTATATATTTCTGCTGTATCAAATCGCAGCTCAAGTTTGTAGCAGAAAATAAACACAAGTGTACGCCAAGGAATATGTAAATCAGTGAAACAAATAATATATACATATAATATATATATACCCCATGAGTGTCACTTCTACTCAGACTATTTATTTAAGCTACTTAGAATAGTAAACAAGCTGACAGCCCACCTGATGGAAAGTAATAACCGTCGCGTATCAAGTATCAAGGAAGAATAAGGTCTGTACCCTGTAAATTCATTGTCATATCCCACCCTTTAAACCGAAACACAGCCATGCAAACACAACTGTTTCACGGTTGAAACACGAGTGGGACAGAGGTACCCAAGCTAATGACTTTTGTATGTTTAATTCAAAATGACATAGTATAACGTGACTGCGTGGAATAGGCATGAAAATATTGCGATTAATTAAAACATCGTTATAAAGTCGTGACTGGAGGTTGTTAATTCACAGTCTGTAGTTAGCGGTATCGTACGCAACTATGAATCTTTGGCAATTTTCAAGGTTTATCGTTGAGACGAACTGAAAAGGGTGCGCCTTAAAATCTCTTCATAGAAAATACAATACAATTCTAAATCCAGCCGCAGAGTTGACGTATTTAAGATTGTTTTCTGTGATGGCCTTGGTTTTTTAAATAGGCGTCTTTTTTTTTAATAAGTGAAAATGGAATGGTAACTTCGCCTGCACTATCGGTATACACTGGCTGGGCACCAGTGAGAGGTGATTGGTAAGGATGAAATCAGGTCAGTTAGTCCATCGTGAAGAATTCCATGAGAAATAGCCACGATGGTTTCCAGGGAGAACCGCGTGAAGGTCGACCTGATAGGGTATATTGCTAGCAATGGAGCTGTTCCATTACTAATAATCTCTTTCCCCTCTTGAATAGGAGTCTATATGTATGTTCTCAGACTCGGATAGTTCTGGCGCATGGCTGAAAGTTTCACTTGCATCCTGGAGTAAACACTAGACAATTTTGAGGTGGGCACGCCTCTCCTTGCTTATCGATATGGAAGGATTTTATTGAAGTGTTATATCTCTTTCTGTTTTACGAAGTTATTGTTTCATTAATAAAACTTGACTCGATATAAATCAGGTTTTTATTTTTTCAAATGCACGTACACACACAAACACGCACATAGACACACACATATTGACACCCTGAGTCATGACGTATAATACTAGTGACAGATTAAGAATTATAATGGAAGTTAACACTATAAGTGACACCAAGGAAGATGTTCGAGTTGAGATATGAAAATAATTTTCATATCAAGCGTTGAAATCGTAATTTTGTTTATTTAATATCGATACTTTAAGGTCTTTGCGGTAAGGTTTGACAATTCATACAATAGTTTTATGTGTTCAAACACAATAGGTACTAACTGATGACGATAACATATAGCAGATATACGTCAAATTATTCAACAGAACACAATTGGTTATAATGTACGCTCACGTCCATAGTTGAGAGTAGTAAATTATCTATTTGGGTCTAGACTTATATAATAAGACTAGCGACTCGCCCCGGCTTCACACGGGTGCAATGTGTAACTTTTAAACTGTTCAATACATCTTAGTAAGGCTGGTATTTTCACGTGTATGTAAGTACTGAACTAATATTTTCTAAGATTTTAAAACGAATGGCCTATTTAGCAATTTGATGTGCATGCGTTTATATAGTTCTTCCTGCACTCCTCACTTCTGTGTTCCGTCTACTATTCTCGCTAGACTATTATTCTTATTATATTTTTTTTTGTAAATGCATAATATATTACACATAAGAGATGTTCAGACCTCTATAGAGTAAATATGACTGTACAAACAGTCATATTTACTCAAATGTTTGTAATTGCGAGAGTTGAAGTCGCGACCATTGGATGATAAAATGGTAAGCTAAACTGCTACATCACTAAAGTCATCGTTGTTTGGGAATATGTCCCGCGATTAAAATTGATCTCACCTGATTTGAAGGGATGAGGATGATGACGAGGCAAAGATGTAGCCCACGGGCTAACAGAGGAACGTAAGTATGTACATTTAGTTTTAAAAAGGGAGATAGTTCCCTTGCTTTTACCGTGCACATAATAAAACTAAACACATATAGTAGAAGTATTTTAGAATAAATAAAGGTTAATTTTAATTTGCTTAAAAATACTATTATTAGTATTGCCTACATTTACATTGTCAAGTTTATAAAATTAACACGTAACACCTATTATGTATCAATAAATTCCGTTACTGAGTCCGTTAGAAGCTTGCAAAAGAGACAAGGCGTATGTAACATTGCATCACGACTAGCACTGGTCGTAAATAGTCACATGGTGCCAAGGATAAAGCGAGTCCTACTTAAGATTATGTCAGAACACGCGAGAAGTTTAGGTTAGATTGCATTAAATTTGATTAAATGTACATTTGGTTTCATATAGGGTAGTGGAATATAAAATAAACATCCCCTGTTGTTGAAGAAATGACAAAAATAGTACAAAAATAATACTACTTAAGCGACTGTGCTGTATTTTTCCATCCATTTCTTTTACTCGCTTGATATAAAAAATATATGACCAAACTATAATTACTCCTCTCCAACCAAAGGTTGCCTGGAACAGATCGCTTTTAGTGATAAGGTCGCCCATTGTTTTTTCATTGTGATTATTTCTTGTAATTGTTTATATCTAGAATAGGTATACTGTTGTAATTTTTTGGAGAAAACAATAAAGAGAATCTATCTATCTATATAATTGGACACCAAATTTCTAGTCATGTAAAAAAGTAATTCATAGTGACTAAAGTGACTAAAGTGTGGTTCCGGCATAAAATAGTACATCCCTTTACTTTGGGTGTTGTAAGAGGCGGCTAAGAAGGCGAGAAATTGGCAGCAGCGATCTTCTTAAAACATCTCCAAAGCCTATCTGTGGTTGCCAATCCGCCTACCACGGGGGCCACCCTGGGCACTACTGGCAAAATCCCCTCAAGGAGAAGGTTTATGCTCAGCAGTGGATAGTTAGAGGCTGATATGATGATGATGATGAAAGTCACGCAAGTGTTTATCGGTTCTACAACTCTAATTAAGAAAGACTAGTGGTCTGTAGTACTATGTAGAAAACTAATTATATATATAAAATAACTTTGGCATTGGCAAATAGGCTTACTATTTGTTATATATTTTTTATAAAAATGTATCAATAATAGATTTATTTCTAAAACAGTTTCTTGGAGATTTACAACGAACGGGTTCACGACTTACTGGCAGGTGAAGTCTCAGCTGCTACTTGCCACTCTCTACCGCGGCGCAGGGGTAACTCGCGCAAGGACCTTCGTGTGAGGGAGCATCCACAAAAGGGACCCTATGTGCAAAGTAAGTAGGGTACTGAAAATATTGGCACATAATTTATCGACATATTTATAAAGTCGATTGCTTGGGTACCTCTGTCCCATTCGTGTTTCAACCGTGAAGCAGTTGTGTTTGCATGGCTGTGTTTCGGTTTGAAGGGTGGGATATGGCGTGAATTTACAGGGTACAGAGGAATAATACCTGAGTCCTCAGGAATGGCAACGCATGGGGGGTATCATGGGCGAAACAGTATACTCTGTTATGTCCATGGTACTGCTCATGTCTATAGGCGACGGTTACCACTTTCCATCAGATGGGCCGTCAGCTTGTTTGCCATTCTAAGTTGTATAAAAAAATCTATTTAATAGAATTGTGAATACTATTTCCTTTCTTAAAGGATAAAGTTTAAAAAATGCTTTTTTAATGATACCTAGATGTACAAAATTTTATAATTATAATTTTGTTTTTCTTTAGATCTTCGGAGAGTAGCAGTACATGACGTCCAAACTCTCCTCTCATTGGTTCACGAAGGCGCTCATAGACGACGAACTGCCGCAACCCGTCGTAATTCCACTTCGTCCAGGTCGCACGCGTTGTTGGAATTAACTACTTCCACCGCTACACTGCACCTCGCTGACCTTGCTGGAAGGTATCAAAATATTTCGTCGTTCTATTTATATTCGGTGACGCAGTACGCTCGCGTCCTGCCACATTGGATTCGAATATGCTTTGTGAAATATGGGCATGTTGAATGTTGTTTATTATATTTACAATAGTTGACAAATGCTCTAGTTATTCCTATTAGGGATTATATGTAGTTGTGAGTGTAATATATATATATATATATATATATATATATATATATATATATATATATATATATATATATATACAGTTTAAGGGCCTCCCCATAATGTGCAAGAAAGAATAGGCCTTGAGTCACCTAAATTATTAACTCCTTATAAAACACGTAATATCGTCAATATATCTAAATATAGGGTTGTCCAATGTAGGGTAGTATTGACCTTGACAAGCTCGCCAAGGTTAGTACTACCCTCGCTTGCTCTTTTCTTCCCTTTCTGTTTTCGGTTTCTCGAGTTATATAGCCGGCTACTTTAATTTACGGATTTTATGGGTTATAGGTGTTCACAGGCAAGAGCTCCACCGATAATAGCGGAGATATATAGATAGATAGATAGATAGGTGTTCACTTTGATCATTCTGCGAATATCCGTTTTATTTTGCATTCTATCACATAGTGAAACTCTGATTATAACCTTTTTTATAAATCTCTAATCAAACTAGATAGACGATATATAGATGGCGTAACATTAGAATGGGGATCATGTAATATTATTATCACCATCAAATGAATTTGGCATGTATTTGTTTCCCCTATATTGTTTTTCGGGTTTGTGTTGTTATGTCCGGATCCTTTGTATTCCTTAGTTAAGACAAATTTAATAATACTCTTATCACAGTTATAAAGACACATCAAATGCAACGACCGTTTATGGAAATTATAAACTGACAAAGGAATATTATTTATTTTAGAAATTTAACAGTACGACATGCCGTGACTTTGCCATATCTACTTTGTAAAAATTTTGTTTTTATTATTTATTTTAAAATTTCCTGTTTTTTCGTGCAAAGCACATTGACTTGTTATAAATGTTTTATCTTTCTTGTGCAGCGAAAAAGCTAGTTGGGAAGGCTGCGGTGGCGGCAGGCAAAAGGAAGGGGCCAACATAAATAAATCGCTAGTCGCACTTAGTAACGTTATATCCGCTCTTGGTAAGTGCCCAAGACTATGAAAAATATTCTATTAGTTTGCAGGAACACACTCTGAGCAAGTAACCATTATATTAGAAATATCACCACAATAAAATAAATATTTATAGTCTTGTCTTACTATTCGTATTTATTTTAAGCCTTTTTACAAAACATTGATATTGATAGATATTATTAAGGACATAATATGTATATAGTGATAAAGTTTTAAATCCAATGATCCAGTTGCACATTTATTGTCGAATTATGTTTTTTTTTTATTTTTTTAACATTTTTTCAGAAAAGTAGTATAAAAGAATTATTAATTTAAGACTATTCTTATTTTTATCGTAACATTATCATATAAAATTTCAATAAACACTTTTTTATTTGTTTTTGCATCATTTAATGATACAATAGTAATAATTGTAATATTTTAGTGATAGGTCGAGCATTGTCAAGGTTGTTCAATCCTTTCGTCGGTAAACTAATGAAAAATGATACATCTAAGTATGAATGCAATGTATGCTAAGTCAATGCATCATTTTTGTCGTTTAATATTTTTTAGTTTCCGGCAAAAACTATTGACTGTATAGTTTTAATATAGGTATTACGGTTTCTATATTACAACTGGTAGGAAATTCACCCTATTGTGATTTAAGAAAGGTTACTTAGCTTGTAGTTGACGTTGTAGCTACTTTTAAAACAATTCTATCGTTCATATAGAACATGAATGATATAATAATTTATACATAAAATAATCATTTTCATCCCTGAACATGTTTAGTGAGTGGAGGCGCCGGGCGTGGTAGATTTGTCCCGTACCGCGACTCTGCGCTTACTTGGTTGCTGAAAGACTGTTTTACAGGAGGCGCTAGTACTTTCATTATTGCAAGTATGTTATTTTGTTCTGTTCTTCTTTTCCTCTATCCGTATCTTCGTAAATTTGACTTGTATTTACCATTTTGTAAAAGAATTAGATTAGATAAGTAAAAATCATACTTATTTTTCATTTATATCTACATAATGTTATATAATTTCATTGTCATATCCAGCGCTTCAAACCAAAAAATAGCCATTCTAAGACGATGTGTTTGAATTAACTACTTTTTTCGTAATTAGTTATAACAGGTTAAAATTGCGCTGCTAATTTCTGACGGTATAAAGCTTGATTTTAATGAAAGGCGTACAAAAATACAAGCCAAAATCAGTACAATCATTTTGGTAAATTTCCCTTTATCGTGCTTTTAACCTATATAGATAATTTACTCATGTAATTTTTTTTTTTAAAAGCTGTGTCTCCAAGCGTCGCTTGTTACGGAGAATCTGCGTCAACACTTCGTTGGGCAGCACGCGCTCGACAGTTGCCAACCCCGCGAGTCATTCACACTGGACCTAACGCTGTCACGCGAGCAGTTTTACAGTCTCAATTCAACCAACTTTTAACTGAATTATCCAGAAACCATATTCAATATGTAAGTAGTTATTAAACCGTATATAAGTTAGTATGTCAAAGCTTTTCTACACTTAGCCTCTCAGTTGGGCCGTTTGCGTGATAAACCGTACCTAATATTTAAGTTATATCTCCATGTAACTCTTATTATAAGGCATCATACGCTTCGGATATCTTTATTCATTTCAATCGGGTTCTTTATTAAATATTGGAGAACCGATATGTAATAATTTATTACATATTGGTTACCGATATGTATTATTAATTGTTGGGCCAATATACATGTATATATTGCTATGTAATCTATTTCTAGTAATAAATAAAAAAATACTAAATTACAGGTACCAGAGACTGGCAAAATATTTTATGAAGACAAACACTGGAGATTACAAATAAATAAATCAGATAGCGACGGTTCAGATAAAACTACAAAAATAGGTAATATTATGAATTTATCACATCCAAAAATGGATGCTCATTCAGAATCGGCAACTTCATCAGTCGCTAGTGGAAGTTCGGAAGTTATTAACACAATAGATAAGAATGCAGACATAACAAATAAAATTAGTAAAGAAGTTGATAGATTATTGGGTTCTACATTAGAAAGAACGAATAGTGGCAGTAATTTGAAGGCAATTGCTCCAGTTAGACATAAACGTAGACAGTACAGATCTCAGGAAATTTTGCCTATAGACGAAAGCTTATGTAATCGAAGCCAAAGTTTAGTTAATGCATTACCAAGTCAAAGTGAGGAAGGACTTAGTGTAATAAATAAAAATAGAGTGGAAAAACAAAAAGTTAATTCAATTCCGATTCTTTACGATAATCAAAGAGCGGAAATAGTAGCATCCGTTACAGAAAGGTTATATTCGAAGCTAAAGAAAAAAGAAGAAGCTGCTGTTTCAAAAATTGAATCAGTGGTAGATAAAAAAATTATGGAACCTTTAAGTGAATTAAGAATTTGTACAAATGCTCGTCAGCGTTTTATTGATTTAAGCCAAAAAACAATACGAAATAAAAGAAGAATAGGAATACCTGCTCATACGCAAACAAGAATATCAGTTACTCGAGTAAAAGATCAAGAAATTGATGTCCAAACAGATTTAGAAGCATATGTTTACAAGAATAGACATTTTTATGCTCTCCAACGTGATGCTGCCACAGAGACGGTCACAATGACGCCACGCTGCAAAGAAATTGCTGTTGGTTCTAAATATGCTTCCATAAATTATTGTGACAGATCAACTTTAACAGAAACAAAAGAAATAATTTTTAAAAGTTCAATGGTAATGACCGATAATATATTAACATGTGATCGATCGACACAAACTCCCATAGTACCACCACCAAGAAAGAAAAAGCGAGTCTCAAGTCTTGCTAGGTACTTAAAAAACATTGAAAACAAGACTAGTTTAGAAGAATGTAGTCTAACCCCAATTATTAATATTAATATATCACAGTCATGCTCTACAGATCCAGAGTCTCAAAGTTCTGATGATAACTTAGGGCAAAAAAATTATTCTACATCTCATATACCAATAGTAACATCAACTCCAGACTTGTTAACAAATCATAGTGCTGTTGAAACAAGTAGTGATAAAAATGAAGAGATTGGTAACAATAACAACAACACAACGTGTGCTAATGTAAGCAGTATAATAACTGAAAGTAATATATGTCACATATCACCTCAATTACAAACAAAATCAGGTGAAGATTTTCCAGATTCTGAGGACTGTACACTACCAAAGGTACCTGTAGATACTACAAGAAAAAAATATCACGAAGAAATGAAAGAAATGATATTAGGAAGAAACAAAAATGTTTATCCATATAATATAGTGCTATCACCATTAAAAGTAAGTTCAAATTATAATAAAATAGTTAAATTTAAGGATACTGATGGTTCTTCTGGAAAATCTGTTGGATCTCAGACAAGTTGGGAATGTAGGAATAAAAAAAAAGAAAGTTGCAAATCTAATATTAGTTCCGATGTAACTAATTCAGATAAAGAGTATAATGAGGCTGGATCGTTTTGTAATAGCACCTTTTCTTATTCTGGAGAATCGAATAATATAGAAACAGATTCATTTATTTGGAGAAAAAGCAATACAAATCAGTTTAACAGAACAGGCTACTTAGGACGTAGTTATACTCCCGTGTATAAAAACCAGTCACGGTATAGAACGGCTAAAGCAAGATTTTATAAAGAATTTTTAGGGCTAGAAAGTAGCACTGATAAGGATACGGATCTTTTAAAATGTCCGTGTTGTAAGTTTACGTATTGTAAGTGTTGCAGTGATACAAAAGTGGGCTCTAAATCCAATATATCGCAAAAAATCAGTTCAAATTCAGCATACATTCCTGAACAAAACATTTATTCACCTTCATTAAAAGATATTACTTGTATGCAAGAATTTGAATGCGAAATATTGAATTCTTGTAATGATTTGGAAGAGTCAGTTAATCGATATGACAAATATTTATTGGGTTTTCCGAAAAACAGCAAAACAACAAAGAATTTGAAAGTACAAAGTCCAGTGATGACTCCCACGGAATATTTACACCATTTGGTTCAATTAAGAAGAGAAGTTATTAAAGCAGATTGTAAAACAGATTCATTTTGTGTTTCTGAAAAGTAATTCTAAGCTGTAAATACAATTATGTATATTTAAGAATTTATAAATATTTGGTAAGCGGAATAAATTTTAATTCTATGATTTTGATTTACTGTTTATTGTAATTACTGGTATGTATTATTTTAACCATTTTAGTCACAGTTTCTTTAACCACTAAGTATGGTAAATAAGCTCGTCAGTGTAGGCAGTCCTATAGGAAAGTGACAATCGTTACTTATATACGTGACTGTTACGTTTATTGTTTGTACTGGTTTCTAAATTGGTAATATATTCTTTGGTGTAGGGATGGCCAACTTGATTAGAACCAAGAAAACACGAACGAAACTCTGTGCGATCTACCAATTACATGCTTCTTGAAATCTCAAATGAAATAACGTAGTTTAATACACAATTATGTAGTATTGTAGTATTTTTAATTTTATTAAGAGGATGAACATAAAATTGAAAATTACTTTTTGTAACTACTTATTTATATTAGTGTGAGCATTGTGTCTGAGCATCTTCCGCGAGATTAGCAAAATGTTATATTTTTTACCTAGCCACGATCGACTGGACTAATAGTCGCGATCGACCGGTTGGCCACCCCTGGTGTAGACTTTATAAAACTAAATGGGACTGTTATGTCCATAGACGTAGTATAGCGTATTTATGTACTGAGAGACTGGCAACGTAATAATAAAAATAAAACTAGAAACTAGTGCGCGTATTTTGTAAATGTGTGCAAAAATATGTTTGTAAAAATAATATAGAATTAAAGTTACAAAAATAGTAAATATTTATATTTTGCGTTTATATATATATGAAATGTCGAAAATATTTTTCTATTCTATTTGTTATAATTTTTATTATCATTCGTTGAGGTTCAGAATTTTATTTGGATTAAATTAGATATTTTTTTTGTATAAATTTTTAAACAAAATATTTCTGATAAATCTGTAATATTGCATATAAAGAGCTAAATATTTACAGTATAGTTACGTGAAAAATGTGCGATTTTTGTTTTTGTTTTCCTCAATTTATCTTATCCATGTCAAGGAAGACCACACTTTAACCAAATATCCACTTAAAACTAAAAACACTTTTTTAATTTAAAAATAATAAGAATTTACTTCGTTTTAGTAAATTCTTATTATTTCGGCAGTTTTTATTATTTCGGCAAAAGCAGTACACTAAATGAAGTGACGATCTTAAATGCATTACAGGAGCTAGTGGAAGCAGGTAGCTCAGAACCGTTTCTTATGGCAGAGAAAGGGAGAGGCCTATTTTCAGCAATGGACAGATAATGGCTAAGATGATGATGACTTTGTTTAGTCCTTAGATTATGAATTAGGTATTAGATTGGCAATGTAAAAGAGAGAATATATAATAACTATAGTCTATATACCCTTTCCTTCCTATTTAATGCTAGAATGATGGGCGGCAGTATCCTTATTAAAATATCACCAAAGCCTAATTTGGTTGACAACCCGCCCGCCAAGCGTGGCAGCTACTAGTAAAACTCCTCAAAAGGGAGGTCTATGTTTCAATAGTCGTCTGTTAGTGACTGATATAACTGTGACGATGATATATCTTTTCAGGTAAAAACAAAAATTTAAAAATTGGTTATATATAGGGGAAATATAAGGGAAAGCGAGGAAGATAAATATAATTTAGGATATATTTTCAATGTATAAATTTTATAATGTATCGATTAAAAATCGTTTAACTAGTGAAAGAAAAGAAAAATTACATGTTTTGTAAAAAATGAAATTTTTAATTTATTCTGCCCTACAGATAGGCTACATAGATACATCACATGGGGCACTTTAATACATAGTGTAAATTGTATCAAATTGGTTAATTGTAACACTTTTTTGAAAATTTAACTTTTTTATTGTGAAGACATTGTAATCAGTCTTACAAAATACTTGTTAGTATATCAAATGAATAATTAAGAATGTTTTTGTTTTAAAAAATGTTTTAAAGAACAGGATTGCTGAATCTATCCTTCGATTAAACATATAAAACTCAGAAAGTAAAATGAACAATCGTTAAAAACTCTAATATATCATCAAAAATAGTAAACTTAAATATTACATATTGTTTATTTATTTTTGCCACAATTCTGTATATTTGCATTCCAAACGTTCTGTTTACTCATAAGCTGATGTTAAAAGTTTCTGTGAGAATAACATAATGCATATTGCTGCAAGTCAACAAATATTTTGAATTCTCTTGCTAGGAAGTAGTACAAATATAGAAAGTGACGTTTGGTCATAAGCTTTTTTTGACTTTTCTATACTTTTCAATACCATATTGAAGAGAACTTCGTTCAGGTTTGCAGCTGCTTGGCAGCTGTCTTTCATATAGATATTATACCTTAAAACTTGAAACATTGGTTTAAATGTTTTAATTATTGATACCACGTCTTTCGGTGTTTGGCTTGTATGTACGTGCGACAAAAGAATATATCATTTCATTTAAAAATATAAATAAATAAAATGGTTTATGTTTTTTATGCCTGCTTAATAGTTTGTATGTAATAAATTAATTATAGGTTTTATAATATGTTTGCGTTTTAAATAAATTGTTTTAAAATTTACATATTTTTAAATTTTCATTTATAAAATGCTTGTTTGTTTTTGTATTAGGCCTAAAAAATTTAATTAAACAAATCTTATCGAAAATATAAAATATCTGTCCATATACATTTGTGTTTTAAAGTTTTATTCTATATTACAGGTGTGAAAATGTATTTAATTTTAGAAAGATATATTTTATGATTCAAATAAAAATTACGAGTCAAAATATATAATTAATTTTCTTTCGTTTTATTAATTTTCACCATTGTTAGCCATTCTGAAGAATACGCATAATATGAGCGTAATTATGCATTCTAAATTAAACATTTCTATTACGGGCGTGGCTTGGAATGGAGCGTGTTGATAAATTTTTTGGACTATTTTTATTATTTGAAAATACCTATATGAAAACTAAATAACATATAAATAATATACATAAATAGTATAGCGAAAGAGGTTTGCTTGAATCGAAGCATTTGGCGTTCTATTGTTTCTGCCTACCCTAATGGGAGACAGGCGTAACAGATATGTATGTATGTATGTATAAATAGTATAGGTCTTGGGTATGATAATTTTCAACTTACGTAATTAGAACCGTTGGATATAAATATATTTAGCATATTATAAATTTAAAAACAAGTTTACCAATGTTACGTATCTATCACTTTAAATTTGAATCAAGTTCAGGGTTGTAGTTGCCATTTATGTTTAGCAATTCTCATGACGGATTGCTAAACAGAAATGCAACTACAACTATGGATGAAGAAATTGCCTACATTAAAATTTACTTCTATTATACATACATATATTCATAAAATTAATCTGCATAAATTATAATATTAATCTGCTATATGTCAGGTATCTAGTAGAACTGAAGTCGACTGGTAAGAGGCGCTGACCCCGGCATAGTGTATAATGTTCTGACGATTATATCATCTATGGAACGGGTTCAAATCAATTAAATTTAGTAATCGTTACTAATATCTAATATTATAAATGCGAAAGTCCGTCTGTTACCTGTTAGTAATGAAAATATTAATGGTTTAACAAATTAATATGACTTTTTATCTACGTATTTTATTATGTCAGTAGTCCTTAGTTATTATTATGATTTGTTTTATTTATTTTTTAACTCCTGTGTGGGTTTCCATTTTCTTTCTATAAAATTTGGTATACACATACTACCTTGGGATGGAAAAGGACATAAGCAACATTTTATTCTGATCAGTAAACATACTACGCGGTCATGCAAATGAAGACGTGCGTAAAAGCTAGTTACCTTTATATAACATTTATAGTAACCTTTATATAAGAACGTCTCTTAGACCGCATGTCTAGTGTGGCCGACAACAAATGTTGCTACATCGTTTTAAATTTTCTATCCATGGCTTGTTCATTCGACTTTTTTTATGGGGAGAGATCTGTACCTAGTAGCGTGTGATAATTCATTTAGTCCCATAGTTGAGAAAATCGCTTGACCTTTGTACATTATATTACACTTTGTTTTTAATGGGTGATAATGGTATGGTAAGCTAAGTAAGGTATACACTGGCGAGACACCAGGGTGGGATGATAGATGACGATTAAAGCAGGTCAGTTTGTCCATCGTGCTGAATTCCACTAGAACTAAACACGATGGTTTCTAGGGGAACCGCGTGGAGGTCGACCTGATAGGGTGTATTGCTAGCAATGAGTCAGAGCCCATTACTAACAATTCCTTTCCCCCCTACATTACACATTGGACTTTATTAATAAGGGCAAGCAAAATGATTCAGATATTTTATACGAAAGAAGGAGAAACACTAGGGGGGTGGGGTGGGAGGAATGGATTGTTTGGATGAGAAGGGGTTATTTAATAGTCAGATCTAATGGCCTCATTTGTTTAAAGGTCTGACTGGCGACCCGTACAGGCAAATGTAGTGAAAGACGATCTCCCTGCTAGATGGAGCGACGACTTCAAATGCGGATTCATTTCAGTAGATGCTGGTGGCTCGGGACCATTCATTATAGTGGTTTATGGGGGAAGAACAGTTGACAGCTGATATGATGATGATGAACAGCCCTATTAGTTGCAATGCATCTACTTACTATCACTTTATGTGGTTCCCCCTGGCAACCATCGTCGTGACTTTCTTGCATATTCGGCACGATGAGTCAACTGACCTGATTTCATCGCCATCTATCATCGTTTAGTGGTACCTCGACAATTTATACCGACAGTGCTGGCGGGTTAACCATTTAATTTTTATCCTGTTAAAAAGACCGGTTCCACTTGTCCCTACCACTCTGTAACCAGTAGGGATAAATGAAATAAAAATGTCAGTTTCCCCTACCGATATTTTTTTTGAGAATAAGTACAGCCAAGAAAATGTTAGAAAATTAATAATAGTACAAAGATAGATTGGAAAGTGTCCGAATCTTTCACGCAATGGGTGTATATGTATCACAGGCGAAAAAGTGTACTCTGTTCATGTCTATAGGCGACGGTCAGCACTTTCCATCAGGTGGGCCGCCAGCTTGTTTGCCATACTAAGTTGCATAAAAAAGCATAAATACTTATAAAAATATGAATAAATATATATCGTAGCTCTATATTGTAGGTATATGATCCAAAACTTGCTGGAATTGTCTTTAGTAATTGAACAGTTTATTTTTTGTGACTATGTCACGCTTATTTGTTTTGTTTTAATATTTTATGAGGCAATTTCTCTTAAACATTAATTTCTTATTCTTTTAAGAAAAAATATTTTAAATCTTCTTTGTTTCCTGCTTTTAATAAAAATATTTATATATGGATTTATTTATGGTTGTTTTTAATGTTTAAATTTAATATTAACTATAATTTTAATCAGGTGTCTGACCTCACTTTGCCTAATTATTTAGAAATGTTGGTTCTAATATATGTGGTAGGTAACCTTCGGTACATCAGTTGCTGCTGTTGCCGCAAACACTGCGAGAGTGCACGCAGAGAATAAAATAAATATAAATTGTTTGAAAACAATTAATATACTTTTAAATGAAAATTGTTTTGAATTATAATAAGTTCCGGTATGTACCTGAACTTATTTTAATTAAAATTTCATGTAAAAAATATTTTAAGTGAAGTGATTGAAAGCTCTGACATGGCGGTTTTTTTAATTTTATTTGCAACTAGCATTTTTTTAATATATGTTTGGTTTCAATACAAATTCACTTATTGGTCAAAAAAGGGCGTGGATGGCCCGAAGCCAGTATTTCTTTATGGAAATATACGTGATGCACTTAGAAGAAAAGATCATTTTTTCCAACCGTACTGTGACAGTTACATTAAATTCAAACATTTACCTTACGTGGGCATGTATTCATTTTATCGCCCTGTGCTGTGCGTAAATGATTTGGACTTGGCTAAGCGTATATTAATTGTTGACTTTGAACACTTTCAATCCCGTGGAATTTACTCTGGTGGACCCAATGATCCGTTAGCGGAAAATTTATTCAATATCTCTGGAAAAGCTTGGAAACAGTTGCGAGTAAAAATGTCACCAACGTTTACTTCAGGAAAATTGAGGACCATGTATCCTTTTGTGGAAAGCGTGGCAAGTAAAGCTCTGAGTTACGCGGATTTATATTACTCGAAAGGGAAACCCATAGATTTTTCGGAATTTTATGACAGATATGCCATGGAAATTATTGCAAACGTTGGATTTGGCGTTGAATGTAACATTTTGACAAATCCGCAATCAGAGTTCGACTGTTGCGCACGTGAATATTTTGAAATAAAGTCATTATACTGGTATGTAATTAATGTTTCATAATTTCTATTATTTTGTGCAATTATATATCGTGTTTCATATACTATCATGTATTTTATAAATAAAAAGATTAAATTAAAAAAGAAAAAGTCTAAAAAATAAATCATCATAGATTCTAATTCAGAAATTAGAGTTTTTAATCAATTTGGAATATAATTGGAGAAGATTTAATTAATTTACAATAAATTATCAAATTTCAGGTTTTACATACTTTTATTCTGTAATTTTAAATTTCAATAACTTTTATATAGTGTTTTTTAGCGTTTGTCCTTTATCCTTATGTTTAAAGATGACAGGCATTACTTTCCATCAGGTACGTCTAAAGCTTCTTTGCTATTCCAAATTGCAAAAAAAATATGATAATTTGTGTATTGGTATATTTTAATATAACTTTCAATAAACAGAATCAATTTTCATATTTACGACTTGGTGTTGCAGTGATTTAAATCATCGCTTTATTTTGATGGTCGTGGTTTTGATGCCCCCTGGAAAAAAAAAATATATTCATGATCACTTCGACCAATGCAAACTTACATATGTTTTGGTCGAGGTGTTCGTTTTTTAAATTGGAACTAGTAAGGGGATGAAGGCGCTTTGTCATTGGGTTTAAAAGATTTACAAAGTATAAGGAAGTAATTCTAGATTCTTTATGGAAATAATTTTTAGAAAGTAAGGGACAACGATATTAAAAAATTGAGTACATTTAGCGGTTGAATTTAAAACTTTTAGTATTTGAATTGAGAATTTTCAAAAATTTTCATTTAGATGAATACATTTACAAAAAAAAGATGTATAATATATTCCAAACAAAATAAACTATTCTTAGTTTCGCATTTTTTTTTATTGTAAATATGTATAGACAATGTGTATAGATATGCATAATTAACATTTTTATTATATGTATAGGACATTTATTTTTAACACTGGTACAGTAAATTAATATACTAAGTAGTAACTAATACTGGTCCTTTCTTACGGAACCCTTCATAGAAAAAGAAATATTTATTTCTTTTATATAAAATATAATCACAATTGATATGGTATATAATAATTAACACGGACATGTCTTTTATACTTTACGTACCCGCCAATATGTAGAACAAGTTCACGCATAAATACTCAGTGTTTCTATTTGAGATTCAAGTAACGAAATTGTAATGCAATGTACATACTTATTTAGCATTTGTTGTAGTAGACACACTTATTAGGTAATCTGATTAGTAACGTACAATCCTGCTTAGTATTTCAAAACTGACGAATCTGACACGTTTTCTAAAACATGCCCATGGACAATCTCTTAGATACATTCGCTTTACATAAATTAATAATTAAAATACTATACATCAGCTTTTGTTAAACCTTCAGCAATACAATTATAAAAACCGCAACCAATGTTGAAGTTCATCCAATTGGTGCAGTAGTTTTTGTGTGATACTAGAACAAATATACAGACAGATAGATAACATTTCTAAAAATTTTAGTTTTTTTTATTAATGTTATATATACTTACGCACACAATGTACCTTGACGAATTTATATTTAATTATTTAATAAATATAATGCGTTTTTACGCATTAAAAAGGTGCAGAAATTATAAGAAAAAATAAATATAAAAATTATAAAGAAATCACTGTTTATCACGCAAAATTGTATGAAAAAGTTGACCCACTTTTCTCGAAGCATTTGTATGGAGACGCTATATCTATATAATCTAAGGGTTTAGCATTTATTAGTCTTATTAAGATTCCTCATATTATTTTTTCTCAAATATTTTCTACGTGCACACATTGTCTAGTTACAATTTTATTATATTAAATTTATTTATATGCGTAGGTCGAATTAAATGTAAATTATCATTATTCAAATTAATCTGTTAACAAGCTCTTTTACATCGTCACTATTGGTATTATGCATGTACTTTATTTTATGATCATAATTATGTATATTGTATATATGTAACCTGTGTAATAGTATAAATAGGCATTAATTATAATTATTTAGGTATATATCCAATACTTTGCACCGCATAATTTTTTTTTTGTTAAAAACAGGATAATAATAATAACTTTTTATGTTTATTTTAAGGATTTTAAATTCGACTGGTAGTTCCAGAGATTAGTGCGTTCAAACAAATCAACAAACTGTTCTGCTTTATTATATTATATATATTTCTACTCTAACTCTAATTTTTTCACATCTAAGGTTTTTTTTTAAATGACTGACAATGGGACTGTAGATTCGGCTGCGATATTGATTTACGATGTTTTTAATGTATCAGTGGGGATGATAGATGAAAAGTATATTTGTGTCGACATGAGTCCACTACTACACGAAAGTAGATGCAGTTTTCACGGTTTTTTTTTATGGGTGAAAATGGTATGGTAACCCCGCCTGCGCTAACGGGATACGCTGGCGGAGCACCAGTGAAGGGTGATAGATGAGAATGAAAACAGGCCAGTTAGCCCATCATGATGAATTCATCAGGAATTAACCATGATAGTTTCCAGGGAGAACCGCGAGGAGGTCGACCTGGTTTGGTATATTGCTAGTAATAGGATACTCAGTCTCCATTACTAACAATCCCTTTCCCCCCAGTTTCACGGTTGTATTCCTAGAGGTATAGCTTAAAAGCTGATGCATGTTTTATCTTCAAACGTCATTTAGAAGTACGCGTGCAAAATGGGAGAATTTTTAGTATTCTTGAAATACATGGAATAGATAAGAAATGTATCAAAGTTCAGATGTATATAATGAATGTTGTATTTGTTTTGCATCTTCCAGGTCTATCATACGCGCCTTTGCTTTTATCGCTCCAGATCTTTTTTCAAAGTTACGTATAAGACGAATCAGTCCAAAAGTGGAAAACTTTTTCTATGGCTTGGTTAAAGAAACCGTCAGTTATCGGCAAAAAAATAACTACAAGAGAAATGATTTTCTACAAACGCTTATTGACTTGATGAACGGACAAATTGTCAATGAAAACGGTAAGAAATACTTTATAAAGACAGTTGTTTTAAGCACCTAATAATAAATTTGAATATAAAAATTGGCAATGTATATAAAAAAAAGTTAGTAAGTAGGGAGTTTCATGCTATTTCGCTCTAACTGTATGTTCATCATTCACGTACATGCTAGTGGTCTGTAGTGGATAGGCTCGAGTTATTAAAAATCAAATTTTGCATTTTATGTATTTGCATTTTGAAATGTAGTTAATCAATAAATTAATTAGGTTTACTTGTACGATATCGGCATACAGTGTGATTAAATGTGACAAAAAATTGAAAATTTCCTCCTTTATTGGAGATGGTTTAAATCCAAATTACAGTTGTAATGTAAATATCAGTACTTGTTATATATGAACTATATATTATGAACTATACTTCGGTTAGTAATAATTTGATAAAGCATATTTACTTCAATTTGATTAATATTTTCTATAGTTTTGCCAAACTTAATTGTATTGAAAACGAATTTTTAGAAACACTTTTTTTATAGGATGTCGTCATTTGACGAAATTAATTTATTAAAAATTAATAAGTGTTGCTACAGTTTCTCAGATTAGCATATCTATAATGTAACATATTTAAAAATTATTTAAGCGAAATAACAACATGACGATATTATTGAAGTTCCTCAATTCATACTCACTCTTATATGCTCTTTGTTGTTAGTTATTTTGGCTTTTGAGACTAAACGATTGAATCGATATTAGTCGAATTGAGTACGAGGAAATTATTTTCTAAATAAACGACTTTTAATATTAACACAACTTTTTTGGCTTAAGAATTAAAAACGTTTATTGTTTTTGTAATTATTACAGTCTCATGTGATGACAGGCTAATAATTATTAATAATAAGTAATAATTAATTAATCAGTAAGAAAATCTTAATTGTCCAGCATTTACTGGTATTATCTTTTACTATTGAGTTGAATAATAAAACATATGCCTTTTAAATGATTTTATTACATTATGAGCAAAATTAATATATTAATCACGTAGGTATATACTTTATAAATAGTACTTTCGAATTAATCTGTACGGATGTACCGATCCAAGATAAACTGTAGATAAAGCAAAGTATATATTTAACCTTTTATGTAAACTTTAACTATTTTCTACTCAAAGGTTGTATGAATTGATTTTCGCTTAGCAATAAACAAGACCATATTACACTCTATATCTATTTAGTATTTATTTTGTTCATTTAAATAACTTTATTAATCGATTTCTTTCTATGGTACAAAAGGTGAACTTAGTGCTAGCAGCATTCTCTATCAGTTAACATTATTAATTTTGGTGAAATAGTGTGATTTAAATAAATATTTTTAAATGATACGCAGGTGATATAAAACGTGTCCACGATTTCCCGTTCTCAATGAACAGCGTGGCAGCCAACGCTATGTTATACATGTTAGCAGGATATGAAACGTCAGCGAAGACTGGACAATTTGCGGCTTACCAGCTCGCTCTGAACCCTCACATTCAGACAAAAGTGAGGGACGAAATAGACAGAGTACTGGCTAAGTATGACGGGCAGTGCACTTATGAAGCACAGAATGAGATGGTCTATCTAAATATGGTGTTGGATGGTAAGTTGACAATATACATTGGTAAGAATCTAGCATCCGCCATTGAATCAAGGTATAACGGTAATTCTCGAATACAACATGACTCAGCTACGCCTTTACTACACAGGCATGATACCTGTAGCCAATCTTCTCCCAACTCTATGGCTTTTTTCGATGTGGATGAAGAGGAAATTGAAAATATTATTATTAATTTAAAAACCAACTGTGCTGTTGGATGGGACGGTGTCTCTACTTCTATAATTAAGTCAGTAAGACATGTAATTATTCCTATACTAAAATATGTATTCAATTGTGCTATCAATATGGGTATCTTTCCTAACGCTTTTAAAAAAGCAATAGTACATCCAATTTTTAAAGGTGGAGATGGAGACGTTATTTCTAATTATAGACCTATTTCAGTCTTATCCGTTTTTTCAAAGATATTTGAAAAAATCCTAAACCGTAGATTAAAAACATTTATTGATAGTCGTAATATACTATCACCTAACCAATTTGGATTTAGAAATAAAAAATCTACGGAGGATGCAGTTTTAGAACTTACCAATATAATTACTGAAAACTTTGACAATAAGAAAAAATCTGTGGGTATATTCTTAGACCTTTCTAAAGCCTTTGATACTGTCTCTATTCCTATTTTGCTTGGCAAACTAGAAAGTGTAGGTGTTAGAGGTATAGCTCTTGATATGTTCAGAAGCTATCTTACAAACCGTACTCAGTGTGTAACTATTGATGGTTATGTAAGTGAAGATGAATATATCAGTTATGGTGTTCCTCAGGGTAGTGTTCTAGGGTCTACCTTATTTTTAATTTATATTAATGAGCTTTGTAATTTGACTATTCAAAACTGCAAAATAGTTACCTATGCGGATGATACAGTTCTCCTCATCAGTGGACATGACTGGATGGAGACACAAATGCATTCAGAGAATGCAATGAGGCAGGTCATGAGGTGGCTTCAGTCAAACCTTCTTACACTTAATCTCTTAAAGACAAAATTTATCCCCTTCTCTATAAATAGTATCTCTCGGCCTTCCTCCGCATTTTCGATTCGTCCACATCTTTGTCCAACTTCAACAATTCTTAATCCCTGCAATTGTATATCCGTGGAACGTGTTACAAGTATAAAATATCTTGGGGTAACGTTGGACGGTTCGATGACGTGGAGGCAACATGTTGATTGTACCGTCTCCCGCGTAAGAAGGTTGATGTTTGTTTTTAAGAGATTAAGAGGTGTCATGGATTTCAACACCTTAAAAACTGTCTATTATGCACTCGCACAGTCTATAATAACATACTGTATCACCTCCTGGGGTGGAGCTGTTAAAACAGTATTGCTGAAGCTTGAACGGGCTCAAAGAGCTGTTTTGAAAGTTTTGGCTAAAAAACCAGTTTTATTCCCTACTATGGAACTGTATGTGCTCTGTCGGGTTTTAACTGTTCGACAACTATTTATTTTAAATACTATGCTACGTAAGCATTCTGAAATACCGTATGAAGTAAACCTGATAAATTCGAAGCGTAAATCTTATAAAATTTGTAAAATTGAACTTCGACGCACTGCTATAGCGAGCCGACATTATCACCATATAAGTTCCTCTCTATATAATAGATTAAACAAAGAATTAGATATATATCCTTTACCTTACCATAAATGCAAAGATAAATGTTTAAAATTTCTCCAATCCTTATCTTATGATGATACAGAAGATCTTATTAAATTTTCCGAATGAATTTACAATTTTTTTCACACCTGCATAGATACACAAATTCATACACACACACTCATACACACGTTCACGCACACACACACACACACACACACACACACACGCACACACAAACACACACACACATTTACGCACACACACTTTTATTTTGTTTTTTTTTTTTTGTTTTTAAGTTAACATGTAGGCTACTGTATTTAAATTATATATATTGTTTTTAATTATTGTAGTTTATTAGTATTGTAGTTGGTTGCTAAATATAACAAAATGTCTTCATTGATATATTGATATATTGATGGCTACCATAAATGTCTGTTTTGGAATCCTGCAATGAGGAGGAGGGCGTTGATATTCGCAACACAGTTTTATACTTCTGCGGATATCATCGTTTTTCAATAATATTGTATCCACTGTTTTTGTTCCAAATAAAGAATTATTATTATTATTATTATTATTGTAATATTTACAAAATGGCTACCGTTACAAAATGGCGGATGGTATATTTTGTCTATCCTATTTATATGGATATTGAATGAAAGAGCTTGATAAGTATGTAGATCAAAATGGTTTTAAACTGAATTATTCTGATTTTCTAATTTTTTTTTATTTATTTTTTTATTTTCTTTCTTACAATAGTTGTATTTATGGCGATTTTTATGTAATTTGTAATAAATAGTAAACAAGTTGATGATTCTAATGAAAACTTATAACTATCGTCTAAGATATGAACCCACGGTTATTCCAGAATATATAGCAATGAGTATAATACACCGCTGTAATTCCTGAGTACTGCAATGTTATAGGATATGGAGGCACCCTGGAATTTAATTATCATATTCTGTACTTGAAACTGAAACAGCAATGTAAATATAGCCGTTTGACATTAAAACATTATATTTTAATGTAATAACTAAGTTCGACTAGTTTCGGGATCATAAGCGGCCGTGACGAAACTAGTCGAACATTCTTGATCTAATTACACGTAAGTCAAACCGGTATAATGTCAAACAGCTATACTTGCATAGCTGTTTCAGTTTGAAGCTTTTAATATTAAAATATTGTTGTAAATTACAAAGTCTTCACCTGGCGACGATGTTGTTCCATTTATCAAGTTTATTTTTACCCTGTTCCTTTAGAGACGATGCGGTTATATCCAGCATTGCGCGCAATATTCCGGCGTTGCAACAAGCCATACAAACTGCCCAACAGTGACGTAGTCATAGAAGAGGGTACTTTAGTTTTCGTGCCCATCCAGGAGATACATATGGATCCAGAATTGTACCCTGAACCGAAAAAATTCGATCCTGAGAGGTTCGCGCCAGAAAAGAAGGCAAAATTACATCCTTGTCAGTGGATGCCGTTTGGAGAAGGACCAAGGAAATGTTTAGGTATCTATTTTTTATCATTAGATAACTCGAGAGACGTTGCCTAGTTTAAATTTAAATTTAGTCCAAAATAAATATAACATTATCAATTTAAACAATTTACTTAATATAACACTAATTTTCTAAGGAGTCTAAAGGGGTTTAAGGGTCGACTTATATTAAAAAACATAAAAAAATCCCGGTGTGATAATTCTAAAATAGCTACAATTGGTAAAAGAAAAATAAAATTATGTTTCCAATTAGTAGAGATTTTGATAAATAAGAAAATCTAGAGATTAAAAAAGCTTACTTATTTCATAATATGAAACATGAGATAAAACTTATTTATGCAGTATCACAATAAGAAACATGATGAAAATATGCATATAAAGATAATTTATCAATTTATTTTATATATTCATAAAATAACTGAAATATATTTGTTATCTAGACTAAAATAAACAATAAATTATTTATAGTTTATTTTACGTAAGGAATCCTGAGCGTATGAGTCTACTTCGCACTTTACCGATTTTTTTAAATGGAATAAAATTGGACGTTATTCTTTATATGATTATAGATATTAAACTTGTTTTTATTACTTGTTCTTAAATAATTTATTAAACCTTTATCTAGACAAAGAACATTTTAACTATATGCATTTTATCATGGCCAAGTAAAGACGGAAGTTATTCTTAATCAAAACTGATTAATTACGTGAATTTTCCATTAGACAGGTATTATTTATCCTTCACCTATGGCTTGTAATAGCTCTATAGATAAGGTCATTTCAATTCATGCGTTCTAAAGTTATAGTAATTAAACGGATTTATAATAAAATTATAGACCAACAGTTCTGGAAGAATTTTGAAAGCTTTATACTGGACGAATTTATAAGTATATGTGAATGTCTTAATACTTAAAAGCGGTGCCCATTGAAAGTATTGTGGTTAGTCGCATGTGAATTCAACCCGATGGACTGAGTAATTTGACTTTATTTTTATCTGTCATTCCTCTTGATGTTTTGTTCGCGTATACTGAAAATGGAATGGTAATCCCGCATGCTCTATCGATATCCACGGCGGGGCACCAGTGAGAGGTTAATAGATGGGGATGAAAGTAGGTCAGTTGATACATTGTGACGAATTCAATAAGAATGAATCACGATGGTCTCCAGGCTGAAACGCGTGAAAGTCGACCTGATATCAATGGCTATTAAACCCTATAACTAAAAATCTCTTTTCCTCGGATTATACCAATAGTGCAGGCGGTATTACTATTTCATTTTCATTTACTGATCCTTTTAAATAAAACACGGAAAATTTATTTCGTTTTATGTAATAATTGACAAAAATATCCTCTAACAAAGAGTTCTAACGGACAAAGAGTAACAAAGACATTAATAAAAACAAGTAGAAGAACTTTATCATACAACGTTGCTAGTAATGGGACTAGTAGTTCTAACAATCCTTTCTCTTCGCCCTTTTAAATATGTTTTAGGAAAGATAGATAGCCCCTCACGCCCCTTAAGTTCAACACCTCAACGTGAGACCTGAAAGGTTGTAAGCTCGTATTTGGCCGACACCAAAAATTCTATTAATTTTAACATTTTCGTAAAACTAATCCGAGATACGGTATAAGGTGCTAACCTTGCTAAATTGATGCCTTATATACCTATATAACCTTGAAAATTTAACACAATGAGGTAGCCCTCAAATTTTTATACGAGTATACTCGAAAAAATGCAAGTGAAGCGTTACATGCATCAGAGTCGACTAACAGCCCGAATATGTCTTCGATTACTCAATCTGCTTACCTAATATTAAAATTTGTTTTGTTTTTGTTACAGGGGTGCGTCAAGGATATATTCAATCAAAATTAGCTTTAATTAAGATATTGCAAAAATATGAGTTGCTTATAGATGAGCGGACATCTGTCCCCTTAAAATTGAAGACTTCATGTCTGGTGTGGGCGGCTGAGGGAGGAGTATGGCTCAAGCTTAGGGAACTTAATAACAACAATGATAAATAAACCTAGATATATTTAAAGTCCAATTTTTTTTTTGTAATTTACTAAATGTTTCCTCAACAAAATTGGGGACTTAAAATAACGGCTGTTTAGGGTTATCTAATGTAGGGGATATTACCAAGTTACAAACTAAAGATTGATTCATGATTTTTTTTCTTTTAATAAATGATTGTTAAGGTGGTTTATAATTAGTATATAGTATTTATAAATGTTAATTAAGCAATTAATCTTTATTATTCAGTATAAGCATTTATTGCCTTTTTGCCCTTCAAAGGTATTTTGATTGTGAAAGCGCAGCCTACCAAATAATGTTTGTATATTAAGTATATAGGATTATCATAATAATAATATTAAAACAAATTTTGGGTAATTTACAAGAAGAGTACTTTTTCGGGTCCAAGTAATTTTCCTTAGTTATCAAAACAAATGCCCATAAAATGTTTAAGTTCTAATTATCTATATATACAGAATGGAAAGAGTTGAAAGAGATTATGTATCTAAGGGTATGCTTACTAAGAAACCCGGAAATCTTGTGTTAGCACATAAGTTAGTTTACACTGTTATTATGTACCTTTAATATCAATAACATATAGACTCTTAAAGACTGGATCTGGCAACGTATGACGCTGAGGACCTAGGAGGAGATTGTGGAGCGGGATGAAAAGTTGAATAAATTACACTAGGTATTATAGGATTATTAGAAGTCCGAAGATAAGAGGGAGGATACGATTTAAATAAATAAATAAATAATCCGTAAAATTCAGTAACTAATTTACAGTGAGCTGGCAAGGGTTGTTATACCTGGTACTAAGAATTATCAATAAGTATTCGCTGAAGATGATATAGTTATACGCGCCGAATGTAACACACTCCGATGAGGAGATGGAGGCAATATATGAAGACATTTCAAGAGCCATACATACAATACATACAAACAACTTGCCTAGAATTTATTTCAGGTATTGGCGACGTATATGGTACAACGTTGAATTCGTTTTACATGATGTTCGATACATCATGAAAGATTGTTTCTATTTTCTAAAGTTGATTTTAAGACGGGTTTTATCAGCTTATTTAAAAAATGTAGTTTTTTATAGGGACCTGAATTCAGTGCATTTTTTTCTGCTGATGGCTGTCTGATAGCAGTTGTAATCATAGCTTATAGATATAAATAATACGATGAACAACATTATATACTTTTTCTGCATTTAAATATCGCTACTGATTTAAGATTGATTAAAATCTTTAGAATATGAATTATAAAACTTTTCCATTTATGTATTATTTAATTATTTCAGTTATTTTATTTGTTGCGACCGTTGAAAGTAATATTTGTACATGGATATAAGATTTTATGATTTATTGAGCAGAAATTTGATATGTTAATTGGTATAGTTTTATTTTTTTTTTTTCATTAAAAGAATATAAAAAGGTAAGAGTATACAAAAATAAAAAGAAATTATCTTTATGATTCCGCTGGTTTATTTATATCATTAAATCCTTTTCCCAAATAATTTACTAACTGAGAAGTTCTTTGTCTTCGTTATCTATCTATTTATTTCATCCATCTGTCTAAAGATCGAAATCAGATAAATTAGTTTACCTTGGAATGCTCTGGAAAATTTTATTAACATTAAGTTTTTCGGAAACCACCACACAAACTTCCCTAATAAATGGATCAAGGAAGGAGTTGGTGTCGTGTCGTATCAAGAGGTGAAGAGACTCGCTGAAAATCGTAGTGAGTGGCAAGAGCTCCACCGACAAGAGCGCAGCTCTTAAATGGATAGGTAGAAGTTTTTCCATTTAATGCTCAGTGATATAGGTGGTTTTATTATTTGTTAGATTTGATCTCATCGCTATTAGAACGTAGCTGCGTTTACGATTACAAGTCCATGTTAAATAAAATTGTTATGAGGACTAAATAGGAATATGAATAAGAATAGGAATAGGGCTATCACTGGAATAAACTCGTATCTATGGATGCAAAATAATCTTAATGGTGCAGAATTGGCGAACTGTTAGTTGGTTTTACTAGTCAATAGTACTTTTGACTGGTTAAAAATTTTGACTGCAAGAAATGAAAAAATCTAAACATAATGTCATTCATAATAATTTGTACACAGTGCAAAATTTTCATATTAAACTTTGAATACTGTATGTGTTTAATGAATGGGATGTATGATTATTATTAGTATTATTATGCAGATAAAGTTATTTACTTTAATGTACTGTAGTAGGACAAGGTTGATGGGTTTCTTAATAAATCGTTGTGTTTGACTTCTTCTATGTGAACAAATATGCCGTTAATATAATGCAAGTTGAATTTGCAGATCTCTGATGGTAAGTTACGTCACTTCTGCACCATACTTATTTACCTACAACGTGATATTCGTGCTTGAGTCTGTATTTATACGGAGATAAAGCATTTAAATATAATCATTAATTTCCACATATAGCAATTTTTTTTGTATCAATTAGAGTCCATTTTATTAGCATAAAAACACTTTAAAAATATAACAAAAATAAGCAAATGTACAAAGGCGAGCTTAACTCTACTAGAGATTTCTTCGAGTAAACCCAAATAAGAAAGGAGTTTAAATTTAATTTCGGTTATGCTGTGAGTATTTCCCATCTACTCGTATATTTTTTGTTTATTGTAACACACCAAGTTAGTAATATACCAAGTATATTCCAGAAATCTAGGGTACTTAAATTACGTATTAGGTACGTGCTTATGAAAGTTGATGGACAGAGTTCTATAAATTTTGTTTTTTATTTTTCTTACTGTACTATAAACTTCGTATCTTTTTTATTAGTATCATTAAAAATTAATAGTATAACCAACTATACTACCACTTTATTAATAAAATTAATAGATGTCTTTGTTTAAGGTTGATACAACTTTAAATAATTTCATAGTTCTGCAAACTAGAGAGAATTAACGTCTGAACGAGTAAAGTTTTAATATAAATAATTTGCATAATGTTTTTGCAAAAATAAGTAACAAGTTTATGAATATGCTTGTAAATATATTGAATTTTAATAAAACGTGTCGTACGCGGATATTGTTTTACATAGTATTTACATTGTTCCATATTAAATAACTAGCGGGATTGGTCCCGCCTTCGTACATTTTTTTTAAATAAAATACGTTATAAAATATGTTATATATTCAATATGTTAGTTGCTGATAATGCAGATTTCTATATCTGAATTTTTAAATACCGTTAAGTAATTTTTGACTTTACTCACTGCAAAAAAATCTTTCCTCTTTATAATATTAGTTTAGAAAAATCCTGATAAATATATAATAAAAATATTTAGATCACAGTAAATTTCCATTCTTGTTGCATTGCTGCAGAGGACTGATACGATTACTGGAGTCTCTATGGCCTTCACTATCCGTGTTCCATATTGCATCATGTGTTTCGCGTCAAAACGAGATATTGATCGGTGCTTAGAAGCGTAATATTAATCATTCGGTTTACAGTTTGTGATTGAATGAATGAATGGCAGTGGAATTAAACAAAATGATAATAATAATTAAGGAATCAGTAATATAGATATCCGTAAAATAATATCTATGTAAATAGAGGATTAATATTGAAGATTGTTATTAACAGAAGCTCAAACTTTATTAATAAGAGCTCCCTGGAATTCATTTTTATACCTAGTGAATTTGTCGTTATAAGACAAATGACTACGTATCTTTTTCCACTGAAAACCCATTAGTGTAAACCAATAAAAAAATATTCAATTATTTATTGTTCTCCATTTTTAAAATTGGTGAATCATAATAATTTATTATGATTGTGTACAGTCTCGAAAGTTGGGAACGACAAGAAATTAATAGTCAAAGAACGTCGAGAGGCAATGAATACACCTTTGATGTTTATTTTGAAATGATACATAAAATTAGGTTATTTTTATGTATTTAATAAAATGACTAGAATGTTAGCTTAGTTTGTATTGTTCTGTTTTAATAAGGTTTTCTTATTTTTGTTGTTAACTATACAAGTAGGTATTTATTACATAAACGACATGGTAACAACGGTGAAAACTGCAAAGGAAATGAATCCTACTAATATTATAAATATGAAAGGTTATAAAGACATTTGGATATTTCTATGTTCGTTACTAAATTATACTTAAATGACTGCACAGTTTTGATTGAAGTTTGGTACGTATGTAGGTTATATGCAACTTATACGATAATTCATATACTGATTAACGTATGTACGTTGTGAGGATATTCAAAACTGTTAAGTATTAATATAGAAAGATTTACTTTTTTTTATATTAACTTATTAATCTTGTTTTTCTTTCTTGGAGGTTTGCGTTTCTTGATCGTTTTTATCTGGTTCTTTTGTTTCCCTAGTAGTAACAGATTTTTTATTTAAATCTTCCTTAATGTTATGCAATTGAGTTTCTTTGTCTTTTTCTTCAGTAGTACTGGTAGATTTTGCTATATAAACTTTTTGAGATTTGGTGCTTTTTTGTTTTTTATTCGTTTGAATACCAATTTGTTTAAGGTTAGACTTTTTAGCGATTTTAATTTCCTCGGTACTAATTTCAGAAGGATATTCTGCATTTGATTGAGAGTTTAATTTAGCTTCAAAATTTTTTTTCAATTCATCGGTAATATTCAGAGTAGATTCAAATAGCGGAATATTTTCTTGCTTTTTTGCCAATAAAGATGTCGAAGGTATTGATGAACTTAGCAATGCAGGCGGGTCAATTAATTGCATGTGTAATTTCTCTTGTAAATTTATTCCTTTTATTATTTCTTTGGTATCATGAATATCTATAGAATTCTCAGAGTCATTGTTTCGTGGTGCATAACGATTGTTTGATGATATTTTTTCTTGTCCATACTGACGTGTAATTGTTAATTGATAACTGGGAGGTTTATCAAAACTTGAACTTTCTGAAAATTTGTTTTCAATTTCTGGTAAATTTATAGTTTCCACAAGATTATATATAATTTTTACAATAAATTTATGTTGTTTTGAAACAGATTGATAGGCACGTATTTTGGCTATTTTATTTCTTTCTTCAAGTAACAAAGAAAGTTCAGATTTCATTGCTTTGGTGGAATAAAATAAATCGCTATTTGCAACGTAGAGTTCTTCAATATCGTCTATGGCAAGATCTTTCTCTGTACTTATTGATGTATCTTTGAACTGTACTTTACTTTGCAATTGAATTGGGAGGGATTTTAGAGAATCATTTTCAGTGTTGTACCACACATCTGGTAATATAGTACGAATTGGTTTCTCACAGCTTTCCTAAAAAAATGCATTTACGTTTATCTTTAAAATATTTGATATATTTATAATGAGAACAATATTAATTAAATGTAGTATATTTATCACAAGTGGATATTATAATACACATTTACTTATCTACTTGTATCTACTATGTCTATCCCACACATACGAGTATTATGAATGTAAATATGTTTGGATGTTTGTTACTATTAAAAAATCACCAAATCGATTTATAACTAACAGAGTTATAACATAAAAAAATACAACTGAATTGAGATTGCACTCTTTTTGAAATCGGGTAAAAAGCAATGTTTAAATGCGTTAAATTGTGTTTGAAATCAACACAGCACAAACCCCGTCGATTGTAAAAAGAGTCATCATCAGGGCAGAATTGATGAAGATATCGTGTAATATATAAGTATATATGTTAAAAATACTCGAAATGACTTGAGAACTTTTTAAGTCGGTTCAGAATTAAATAATACTATGTATATTATAACAATATTAGATAAGATTTCTTTAGATAGGTGTGTATTAAAAATACCAGTAATTTATCGACGTCCCCAACAAGTTCAGCGTTGACTCGCACTAGTTGAAAGTCTACTACCAACAGCACTCGGGCCACAGTTAGTAGTGCAGATAACAACCAACAGGCGGTGTGTAACCAGGCGGAGATGATCGTTAGTTTAATTGCTTGGTATACGCCTCGTATGCGTCGTTCATAGGCCAAGGTAGCCACATTGACCGTGTAGGTGCAGCTGTGGTAAATATTTTTTTTATTATTTGTGTTGTGAATGCATGCACGCACGCACACTTAGACAAATACGAATGCACGATGTGTAGTTCACGATATTATTTTACATATTATACCAATACTATCAATTCATAACTGAATACGCGTCTATTCCATTAAAGGAAGATATTAATAAGCCTACTATTACTAAGCTGGATAAGTGGCTTGTATTTGCGGCTTTCAATTATCTATATAAATAATGTTTTTATGCATTCTTATTCATTTGATTATGATGAAACTTAGGTGGTTTGTACTACATACACCTGTGAAGGTGTATGTAGTACCCCAAAATATTTCTTTTTATTTTTTTGACAATTTTTTTTTATTTTTATTTTATTATAATTTAGCATTGAAAAATATATACAACTTTAAATTTTCATCGTTTTACGATCAACCCCTGTATTTTAATTGCGATTTTTATATTTTGCAATAAGTGGTAAAACAACGTTTACGGGGTCAGCTAGTATTCATATATAATCCCAATATAACAAAATAGACATATTTTTTGAACATATTTTAATTATACATAGACTCCAAAATAATATTATATTAATTTTGATAACAAAGAAAAACTAAAAAAAAGCCGCTTTAATAAAAGTAGTCAAACATTCAACATACAATCGATACTGACCTAGGGCTACCGGTGACTTTGCTCAGTTTGTTGCATAACTCTTGCAAGCCGTAGTGGGTAATAGCTGATGAGTAAACACAGAGTCCGCCCATCGCCAAAGAGAATATGAAAACAGGAGGTAGTATGCGCCAAGGTCTCTGTAAACTAAACCATTATTTATATTATTATTAGAAAAACATTTGCTTTCTTAGAAAGAACTAGTGCAAAATGAACCTTTGAATAAGGCCTAAACGGTGAAGTCGGTCAGGTGAAATAATCACTTTTTTTATGGAAGAGTTCAAGAGATTTTTTTCTAATATCAATATATCTAGAAAGTTCCACCAAATGTCGACAATCACGACCATTAACATACTGAACATTAAATATTTTTTATCTTTATAGGTACTCAAAAATTTTTTTATAACACAAAGGTGATAAACAAGCATACAGCCCATAATCATCATATCAGCCGTAATCTGTCAACTGTTGAAAATGGGCCTCCTCCATAGATTGCTATAAGGAACGGGACCATTCTTTATGTCAGTTAACCGTTGGGGGATTTTGCCAGTAGAAGTTCTAGTTCTAGTTACCATGCTTGGCAGGCGGATTGGTAACTGCAGTTTGACTTTTGGTTACGTTTTAAGAGGGATGCTGTTGCCCATTTCTCGACTATTAAGTTCCCTTAGTCGCCTTAGTTGTGTGTGATAATATAGTTTTCTGAAGGTAAAATAATTTTTACAACAGCTTGAGTACTTTTTGAGGTTACCCAATACACACAAATAATCAGACCTTTCCTCTTTATAATATTAATATAGATACAGATATATATTAATACGATGTTCTTAATGTTACAACGTAATTATGATGAAGGTAAAAATGTGTGTGTTAATAATAAAATAATTTAATTAATATATGTAATTAAATCTAATGTTTGACGACCTTATTTTAATAACGTGTATTTGACATTGTAAGGTACAATGAACTTGATATATTATTTAACTTCATCAAGATCATAATGTTGAAGAACATATAAGATACACAAGTTTTGTTTGTATACAGAGGACGAGTTTGCTCATCTTTTGAACTGTGTTCGTAGCTGATTTTTTTTTGTGGATGTTCGCGTTTTGGAGACTACTACGAAGTGAACTGCAGAGCCGTCTGTTCCTTAACTGTTTCCCTCAGAGCCGTCTATTCCTTAACTCGCAGTGATTTCGAGCTTCTCATTTCAGATAGCATTCTTAGCATCACTATATAACATAATATAGTGCCATATTAGGGAGGTTATTATCTTTCAGAGACAATACATCAGCATCTTCATATCAGTCGATAATTGTCCACCTCTGAACATAGTCTTCCTCCATAAGGAGGGTTTTACCAGTAGTAGCAATTTTTGGCAAGTCAGTTGACAAAAGCAGTTAGGCTTTGGTGATGTTTTAAGGACGCTGTTGCTCATCCGCTCGATAATTAAATTCCTTAATTGCCTCTTACGACACCTACAGGAAAGGAAGGGGAACTACAATACATGGTACAAATAATAAAGCTTACCCCGTTAAGGTTCTGCTACCAGTTGAGCACATAAGAAACATAGTTGTCCAGACAAGTCCAAATATACCAGATACCAGGGGAACATACATAGGTAGGTAGCATGCATTCTTTTCCATCCATTGAGTGTTTAAAAAATCCACTGGCAATACTGTGGATCAGATTAAAGTAATATAATATACGAGTCCAGCTGCACTCAAAGTGTGATTTCAAAGTTAGTAACGTGTTACATTAAAACTTACAGTCGGGTGAATCTTTATCCAGTGGAATGAAATCATATATGACATTGTGGTGTAATGACGTCAGTGATTGCAGTTTGGGGAAGAGTACACACTTGTCATCGAAGAGATGCATCAGTATGTGGAAGCAGAAAGTGCAGAATGAACCGAACACGAAGGCCATGAAGAACAAAAGGAGATGAGCGCCTGAAGAGCGACACACAGAGTAATTGCATATTGGTTTTACTAGGAGTTGTTGGTTAGGTAGAACAGTATATGTATTCATAGATATTATATTATTATATATTTGATACACCTATACTAAGATAGGTAATAAAAACTACGTTTGGAGGTTTCGTTTTGGGCTACCACTTTTGGGCTACACGTGACTAAAAGTGGCTATTTAGATGATGTACTTATGTAGTGTTATTATTCCTTTACTGATATTAAGTAGAAATTTAATTACCTGTAATTAGCTAAATGAGATCTATTATATGGAATACGAGTTGGTAGATTATCTGAGATGAGTCCAGACCTATTTGCAGTAACATTATGGTGTCAGCCTTTTACCTATTTTTATACATTTTTGATTCATATTGAAGTCACGTATAAATATCTTTAGAGTTAACAATTAGTCTACAGTTAGTAAGTGTGTATGTTAATTTTAAATACCTTTCCAGGCTCCATTTACTTCATTTTCTCCTCGTTCTACTAATCTATATTCTTCAAATAAAGAAATTCTCTCCATTTTTATAAATCTTAAATTATTCTGACGTAAACTTATTATTATTTAACTATTTTATGTCATTCTTGAAACACATTAAAAGGTTGGCTAAGTATTTATTATAAATAAATAGGAATATATTTATTCCGATTAGGTTAATTTAAATAGAATTTAGGAAGCGGCTACATTTGCATACACTACTGCACTTATGTTTGTAAAGTTGTCCTTTTTAAATTTTATTAATTTTATCTGTTTTTATACCATAGTATTAAAATATGTATAACTCCCAAGTTTTAAATTGTGATGACTAGTGGCATACATTAGCGGAAAAAATTAAAGGATCAAAAAAAAATCTAAATTTACACGATTTTTCAAACGGCTGTATCTGTGGTAAAAATGGTTGTTATGGAGTAAAAAAAATTTGAAGCTTAAAGTTTCTAATTTATGAATCTTCCAAAAAAAAAAACGAGTAAAACGTATCGCATAATCTTACCATAAAATTTTTTTTTTTCAAAATGTTAGTTTAAACTTATTTTTGGTTTTAAAAAATTTCTAACTTAACAAATTTATGGATTAGAGACGTTGTTCATTTAGCTTAAATTTTTTTTTCTTGGTCTTGATACGATCATTTTTTACTGAGCCATCGCTCATTGCTATTGTTTTCATTCAATAAACCCTTTAAACTATAACATTTGTTAGATGTATTGGTATGTTATATTGTACATAAGTAGAAGTATCGGTTCTCGTTTATCGCAAATACTTGATAAATATCAATAATCAAGTGTCATTCCATTCCCCGATTTCGTTCTCCTAAGTAAGCAGGTATGCTAGCAGCGAATATATTTATATAAACGAATGAGACAGAGGCGCCCAAGCAAACTTTTGTACTTTTATATAAAGTGTTCTTCTAGTTATATACATATATATTAAAACATTCTAAAATAAAAACTGTATAAAAAACTATATAATAAAATGTAAAGAGTTTGCCACGGCCGGTCGTGTAATCTTTTTACCCTATTCCTTATCACTATCGATGTATGATACGCAGAGTATTTTATTTGTGTAGGTACGTAAACTGTACATTCGTTGACACATGGAGCCATCGATAGTGAACTAATAATTCTGTACAAATGTCCGATTGTACCTAATCGACTGACGTCAACGGCATCTGAGCGAGTTGATTCAGTGAATTCGTTGAACAGATGAGATCAAACAATGAAGTGTAATGTGATGTTATTTATCGTATTTCTATTTTATGTAAAATTAATTCCCGCTGCGTGTAATTTAAATTTGAATTTGGGATCCGATCACGTTGTTTGGACCGTTAAAAATAAAAATGGATGTGAGTATATACAATATTTAATATTTTAAGATTATAAGTTTATATATAATATTTTAAGATTTTGTTGTAAAAAAATCTAGTTTAATCATAACAGAAATAATATGTATATGAAGTCAATATGACAAAAATAAATCAAAATGCATTAGTAATTATTTAAATCGTAGCAGAATTAGTAAAACGATCGCATTATTTTTGTCTACATGTATCATGTTAGTAACGAGGACTAGTAGCTTTATTTTCCACCACCACCGTCCACCTTACAATATGCTCTAATATTAGAGCATATTGTAAGGTGGACCTCCATGGGTCCTTCTTGGAAAGTATCGTGGTAAAATCGTTAGTTTCAGCATGTTTTTTTTTTTAGGACAGAATGGTGAATAAGTAGATAGCCCATCAGTTGTAAAACGGTAACCGTCGCCTATAGACATGATTAGTAATATGAACATCACAGAATATACTATGATAGTACTTCTTATACATTGTATTCGATTTGTATCTTTTAAATCCACCATACACTGTATAAGTTGATAAATTATAAAAAAATTCTATCGCAGCTATATCGATACCAGCCACAGTTCCTGGTGGCATCTATTCGGACTTGCATAAAGCAGGCGTAATTGGCGATATCCTGGCTGGCTTCAATGATGTTTTGACGAGATGGGTAGCTTACGACACATGGACCTACACTGGATTGTTTCACGGTAAGTACACAATAAACATAGATTAAGGATAACAAATGATCAATACCAAATACTGTTATTTATTTAAATTTGTATTTTCTAGCTGACAGTTTTTTTTTTTATTTTTCTTTGCAACAGACATTAAAAAAAAGGAGGTGCTTAATTCAGTTGTATTATTTTTTTATGTTTGTTACTTCATAACTCCGTCAGTTGTAAACCGATTTAGAAAATTATTTTTTATCTAACAAGATATACTTACAGATTAGTCCCATAGAAATTTTATCAAAATTGGTTCAGTACTTCAGTTTTTAGGTCAAAATAATTGGTTTTGTCATAATTGAAGTCGACTTTTTTGTGAGACACAATCTTTAATTATATGTGATTTTTTTTATAAACACGCAATGAATTTTAATACGGGTAAAGGTTTGTATGTACAGTAAATATTTTGTAATAAATTGCACCTGTGCGAAGTTAGGGCTGATAGCTATTTTATTGTGAAAACGTAGATAAGTGCAAGTTTTTCAAGCCGTAATAGGTATGTTTACATGATGCTTTTTATCTTTCTGTAACGTAATTCCAGATAATATAATAAATATGGGTCAACATGGGCCAGATTAGTAATATTATTAATGTGTTTGCTTGAAATACATAATTGCATAGATACATTCACTATTTGCGATTTGGGGGTCTTTAGGATCGAGTCCCAGTTTACCCACCTGAATGTTTTAAATTCACGACAGTCATTCTGTAAGCAATGATAAATACCTTCGACATAATGACGACGATTTAGAAACTCAATGCTACCTTTACACAGGTCTTCGTCCTTAATTATAGATAGTAACCTGTATCCCGCGATTATGCTTGCGTGATATGGATTTGTGTCCCTTTTCGTTTATTATTTATTTCTTTATTTAATGTAAAATTAAATTCAAATCTGTCAAGCAATTTAGATGGAGTATGTTACTCCATCTATTTAGAACATTTTTACATCCGACTTGAAATATGGTTAACGAATTGTTAGGTTTTTTTTATAAAGGTCTAGAAAATGCTTTATTTTCTGAAATTATTAGTCGGAGAGTTTTTATTGGCGAATGATATTATTGTTAGTGATTGATGCAATAAATTACATATGATATATTATATTACAGTAACCGAAGAGCAATTAACAACAAATGTAGCACATCTGGTCTTCCACGGGCTGGATACTGTTGCGTTCATTGAGTTGAACGATGCTCCTGTCGGCGCTGCAAATAATATGTTCGTCAGATATGTTTTCGATGTGAAAAAACATTTGAAGGTCACTATAATTACAGATAACTTATAATAATCATCATCACTTATTTACTTGTTGCTCGTTTCGTCCGTGTGACGTATTTGTCAGAATAAATACATAAGAATTGGTCACAATTTAAGCAGAGACAAACTATTTCTTGGAGATTACTTAAACCAATACAAATAGATATAGGTAGGTACTTATGAATACAAATGTTTGTATTATGCGAGGATCGAACCTGCGACCATTGGATGGAAGGTTAGGCGCTATATTGGGCCGCTATGTAGAAAATTTGAAATATTAATATACTTATTGTAATCAGGTATATTGGAGTGTATGATAGGAGTAAAAAATATTTCCATAAATATATTTTCTACCACGGAACAATTGGTAGGTATTGTAAGGCAATGTAAGGCTTATGAATTAACTAGCTTTTGGCCGCGAATTTATTAAAGGGGGTCGAATTTTCATAATTTCTTTCTATTTGGAAAATTTCAATATTTTAGATTTAGCGATAGCAGTTGTGCGTTGATATATGCGTCAGTCAATCAATGAGCATCCCCTTTTATACATATATAAGGTCATTGAGTTTGTTTTGAAACCAGGTAGGCGTAAACGAATTGAAAGTAGTTTTTCAATCTCCCGTGGAAGCGGCGAAACAGCGTTCTGATAAACATTTCACGCTCCCAGCGTGTGTGCCTGATATCTACAACGGAGAATGTCACGCCAACCAGCTTCGAAAGATGCAAGCTTCATTCGCCTGGGACTGGGGACCAGCTTTCCCATCAGTTGGAATTTGGTAAGGGATTAATTTAAAAAATTGCTTGATTGAAAAGAACAAGGACTAGTTGATCTAACGTAACGTACTGGGATTACAGGCAAATAGGGCCTATTTTTATTGCCAACTGAAACAGTTTGATATTAGGCATTGAGACATTTTTTACATTCAAATAAATTTATGTAGGTAAAGGGGAAAAAATTTTACACAAATTTACTTTACGCGAAAATTTAAAATTAACTGCTTGAACAAAGATTGACAGAAAGTTTTAATCTTAAACATGATATTGTTCATGCCTATAGGTAATGGTTGCCACTTTCCGTCAGGTAGACCGTCAGCTTGTTTGCCATTCTACGCAAAAAAGCCTACGCCCATTTCTAGTGATAAAATAATACTACCGTTTGTCAGAGGAAGATTGTGTACAGTCTTTTGCATTGGTATATCTTTGTCTCAATTATTAATTTTGCCGTTGTGAGCTATGTGAGAGAAATTGTTGGTGTAAAATAAAAAAGGAATAAAATAATTTTTTTTCAAGATCTTCATGTCATAAGAATGTGCAGTTGACTACTTTTAACAGTTTGCCATTAAATAAACCATACACCAAAATAAATTTTTTTAGGAAACCAGCTGAAGTAGAATTTTACAACGGATCTATTATAAGATCTGTATCAACGTACGCTGAAAGAAAAAATGGTAAATGGAAACTAAATATTAAAGCTTACTTGGAATCCAGTCAAGAGTATAAACAAATTGATGGATATTTAAGCGCGAAACTATTGCTTGAAGGAAATCAAGATGTTAAAGTCGGAAAAGATGTAAATGTTTCAACTAGAGAGGATGGGATGGCGGAAGTTGAACTTAATATTACTATAAGTGAGGTAAAAATTGAAATATTCTGTAGAACCTAAGATCAATATAGAATCCATATAATATGCATTTAATTACATAATAAGACTTCTACGTCTTTATTTTACTTTGCAAATACTATTGATGAGTACATATGATACTATCGACTAATAAACATTATTTTACTTCGCAAATATTTTATGAATTACACGTCTGTACTGTATTAAACTATTGACTGATATAACATTGTTAACAGAATGTTGTAAGACTCTGGTGGCCAAATGGGTACGGAGACCAACCGCTGTATGATTTATTTGTCTTTTTCTCGACACGAGGCAACAAAAATGAAATATCCCAAAAACATTTACGTATTGGTTTCCGGACTATAGTGCTTATTCAAATTGATGCCTCTACTAAACTGGGTTAGTTGAGTTTATTTTGTTTGTATTTAGATGTTAATAAAAAAATATTTTTATAAAAATAACTAAAAAGTTAAACGGTAAAATAAAATTATGATTGTACTTTTTTTTCAGGTAATACAACGGGTGGTCAAGGGCTTGTCTTTTATTTTGAAATTAATGGTTACCCATTATTCTTGAAAGGATCAAACTGGATACCAGCTGACATTTTACCTGAATTAGGATATAACGAAACGACTGGTAATTAGAAATTTATCTTAAATCCTACCAATAGGGTATTTTATTTTGTAATTCTATGAATATTATAGGCTAGCTTTGTCCCGCTTAGTATGCGCGGATTTTAGAAGAAAAAAAAAAAAACAATGCAAGGATCACTTCAAGGTGGCGTTTAAATCAGATTTTGAGGAATACTACAGTGAAAACCGTATTCAATTGGGTGCAGAAGTTTTTGCGTGATGCCGAAACATATATATACACAAACTGACGGACAGACAAAAGTTTTAAAAATTTTGCTTTGGTTTTTATTGCTCCAATTAAAACCCCTTATATATACTTTTTAAATGTCTTCCATGTATGTACAGATATTGTCCAGTTACATTTTTATTTTATTAGATGTGAAAGTTTGTAAAAATGGATGGATCGATATATATTTGATACTCTTTCATGCAAAAATTATTAACGCACTTATCAGGCTATTTCACTGCTCAATTCTCTGATTGCACAGCAGCCAGATATTGATATATTTAATGATAAAATAGATATATTTTTAAAATGTTGTTTAAAATTTTTAAGTTTGTAAAATAAACCTATGGCTCACTAGATATTTTGAGATACTACATGTTTTGAGATACTGTAAGTGTGGTGAGTAATTTATAAATAAATAAATAAATGAAATTGAATAAAATTTGGTACACAGTTATATCCTAACTTAATTCGAAAGATATTTTATGTATTTACTGATTCATGCGAGCAAAGCAGCGGGATATTGCTAACATTAGATAAAAAATGCAATATTATGTTGTATATACCCATTTTTTTTTTATTTTGTGTATTCAGTAGGCTCATAAGTATATTGATATATCTGTTTAAATTTTAAGTGAACGGACTGCTGACTGCAGCACGAGATGCTCATATGTCGATGCTGCGCGTGTGGGGTGGTGGACTATACGAATCAGATTATTTCTACGAGAGATGTGACCAACTTGGAATTTTAATTTGGCAAGATTTTCTTTTTGCCTGCGCCATGTATCCAGTTGATACTGAATTTCTCGAGTAAGATGACTTAATAATTAAATTTAAGATATTTATTTAAGTAAATATAAGTTTAGTTTGAGGTTGGTCTGTAACTTTAATTATAAATTTCTAGAAGCGTAAAAACTGAAGTGGAGCAAAATATTCTTCGACTTCAGCATCATCCATCTATAGCTGTCTGGGCTGGTAATAATGAGAATGAAGGAGCATTACGTGGTAACTGGTACGACACCCAACCACAATTCGAAAAATATAAGGAGGAATATATTAAACTTTATGTAGAAACAATGAGACCGATTGTTGAAAATTTAGACTTGGATAATAGAGAATATTTGGTATCTAGTCCATCTAATGGGTTAGAATCTGAACTAGAAGGATACATCGCCCAAAACCCATCTGATCCTCATTATGGTGATGTTCATTATTACAATTACTTAGCAGATAACTGGGATATGAATATCTATCCAAAGACGAGGTTTGGTTCCGAATATGGCTTTCAGTCTTGGCCATCACTCGCTACCACAAAGACCGCCACACAAGATCCCAATGATTTAAGATTGGACAGTGAATATTCGAAACATCGGCAGCACAATCCAAATGGGAATGATTACATCGTACAACAAATAGATCGGCATTTGAAGCTCGACCAAAATGATACGAACTATTATGAAAAATTCGTCTTTTACAGTCAGGTAAAATATGATGTATTGAAATAAATTTGTTTAGATAAAAAGTATTAAAATGTAATAATGTGACAGTTATTTTAAATAATTTTAGATAACACAAGCAATGGCTATGAAAGCAGAATCTGAGTATTATCGGCAAAACCAGTACGAATGGTACACAATGGGTGCTTTGTATTGGCAATTAAATGATGTATGGCAAGCTCCATCATGGTCAGGAATAGGTATGTGAAATACGTTTATATACTAGTCTATATTATAGATAAAAGCAACTCAAAGAAAGAAAGAAATAATTTATTCAAAGAATCAACTAGTGATTCCACGCTGGGCGCCAGAATAACAGATGAAGATCTTTATCTTTTTTACATTGGCGTAGAGTTCTTTTGGTAATTGTGGTGGAATTTATTAGTTTTTAGAAGCGAGAAAAATTTTAGTCTTCTACAGGTTTGATGTGTGCTAATGTCAAATAAATGTTATCTTAAATATATTCGAAATCAATATCGATTCCATGCAATGAAATTGGTATAAATTTCAATTTCATTGTATCAGAAGTCACTTCTCTAATTGTGAACCTGACGGTATGAACCAATCCTTTTGTTGTTTAATCTTTAAAAGATTAATATGAATTATTATTAGTATATGATCAGTCATTATTGATCATCTTCATATAATTAGTTCAAGATTACAAAAAAGTAAATTTTAATTATTATTTTTCACAGAATATGGTGGCAAATGGAAAATGTTGCATTACTATGCCAAGTGGTTCTTTGCACCTGTGTTAGTTTCTCCTAGATTACTTCTAACAGGTGATGTGGATGTGTATCTGCTTAATGATAGATTTGTGCCAATAATAGATGCACAGGTCATAGTGGACGTATTCAATTGGAACAGCTTAATACCTGTTAAATCTCAAAGTTATCCAGCGAATGCGCCAGCACTGAGCTCTAATAAACAAAATTTCTCGTTATCAATGTGGGATATTAACAGGGATGAGATATTCTTGAGGTTCACGTTGAAAGCCGAGGGAGTCTCTTCATCACCATATAATTTTATCTTTCCCAAACCTTTGAAATCAGTTAAAGGTTTAACGACTCCAAGTATAAAGGTAAATATCCAAGTTAAAATACATTTTGTTTATAGGTAACAAACTGTTTGCTGGGATGCTGAAAATTGTCTTAATTTATTAATGTTTGTCTTAATTTAGTTTAGTTTTAGAAACGTTTTAATTATATCTAGACTAAGTATAATATTATATATATATATATATATATATATATATATATATATATATATATATATATATATATATATATATATTACTACTAAAATATAGCCTTTGGTTATATTAATAAAAAGCGAAAAAAAAAAAAACAGTAAATCGTAAACAATTGTAAATAACAAAATTCGAATTTGTTTTTCATTATTAAAGAGTCCCGCGATTGATTACGATCTTATCTGATGGAAAGCCACGATATGGTCTAAGATGGAGTTCGCGGGACCAAGAATAACCTATTCACATTGGCCTTAAATTGGTGCATATTATATTTGGATAGAAAAACATAAGCACGGAGATAGTTCCACTTTTCGGCCATCAAGTTAATTTAGGTCTCAAATATTGTGACAGTAATTATATAAACAAGTATATGAGTTATTGAAATTTCTGTTACAGATCAAAGTATCTAATCCTACGGACAGATTGTCTGGAAAACAAATCTATTATCCTGTAGACGTGCAAGTGAATACAGTTGTACTGTTTTTGTGGCTTGAAACAGCCGGTATAGAGGGACAATTTGAAGACAATGGTTTTATAGTAACGAATCCATATATTAGAACTTATTTCATAACTAAGAAGAGAATTTCATCTGAAAAATTGGAACGTACCATTACTCATCAATATTATATCCATTGATTTTCTATTGTTTAAATATAAGAAAGAAGAAAGAAAGATTTAAATAAATTTAAAATTTAAAGAACAAAATTAAATGTGAAATAAAATTATTGGATACGGAGGATTAATACCTTAGTTCTCGAAATGACATTGCAATATATGAAGGGTATCAGGGGTGTCACAGTGTATTTTCTGGTGTCCATGGTCTCTATTGCTTCATTTCATATCCAAAAAACTCGGTGTGCTTAATAGAGCGAAGCATTATTTCACGCCGGATCAGTGATTACTGCTCTACAAATCGCAAATCCAGTCCCACATGGAGTATTGCTGTCACTTATGGACGGGAGCACCTAACGTATAACATAAGATACCAGCTTGAACCCTTCGATTCAGTGCAACGACGAGTTTTGCTAGTAGTTGCCATGCTTGGCAGGCGGGTTGCCAACTGCAGTTAGCCTTTGATGTTTTAAGAGAGACGCTGCTGTCAATCCCTCGACTATTAAGTTTCCTTAGTCGCCTCTTACGACACCCACAGAAAAGGAAGACCAAATAGGTACAGGTTATTTTATCTTGTATCAATGTATGTACGGTACATTCAGCTTGTGAATCAATTCTCTCTGTACCGGTTTTTTTTTTCTTTTATTATAGTGTCATTGGAGTTACCTACCTGTTTTTATATTAAAATACCTAAATTTACATTCAGTTATGTTATCTTTATCTATAGAGTACTTACATAATATATAGTAACTAAGAGCCACAATGTGTTTTATTTTTAAAGCGTTAATCTCGAGAGAGTTGTCAAAGTTATGAATGATTGAAGTGTTCTTGCAATAAGTACCTACTTAAATACCTACTTATCGAACGGAAACATTTGCGCTGTGATGCAATTATTTTTACTCATATTGTGCTATTTATTATTAGTGCTAGCATAATTAAATGTAAATGTAATAATTAAATGTAAAGGTAAAGCCATTGATTTTTAATGTTATCATCACAGATAATAAATAAGTATTAATAAGTAGGTACTAAGAGATCAATGTAAAACTTTACGCCGACTCTAAATAGACATGAACCAAGACAAGAAGATAATAATTATGTACAGATAGTTATTAGGATAGTTGTTTATTGTAAACAAAGGGATTTAGTTGGAATACCAGCGTATTAATAGTAACTAATTATTATTATACCGTGAAAAGCACTTACGTACTACGCAAGTATTTGTTAATTTGAGATGGCACGGTCAGTGTCGAGGAAAATATTTTTACTTCAATTGTTTGCATTCATAGATCATATTGTCCCTGTAATCGCTGATGACATGTAATCGTTGTCCTCTAAATCCTAATAAAGTCTATTTGCTTACCCAGGTTTGTCTGATTTCCTCATACCGTGATGTGTGTGGTGGGACCCTATCAATGATTAAGAAGAAAGAGGCAAAATGCTTTATTTTTAGTCTAACCAACAGATATTTGATGATTTTGATTGTTTTACATTCGTATTCATGCTTTATTATCGCTTACATATAATTTATCCAATGTCTTTGAATTTAATATTTAATGTCATTTCTTAATATCGTATTGTCAATTTAATAATTGTCAGACTCTCTGACACTGACACTACTGACAGTCAAAATAAATTGCACATAAAATCAAAACAAATGTCATGTTAGAAGTTCGAATCCAAATATTTAATTCTCCCAAAATGAAATAAAGTATGATCTCATACATTTGTGACTAGTCTTTATATTCTTTCTTGATAACCTGTGAACGATCGTGATAAAGGTGAATAGTTAACAATCATGCAACAATCCCCATTTGAAAATATTTTTAATATTATTGGTGGTATAACAGAAGGAAACGAAAAGCCTATGAAACATGGTTTCTATAATGCTTTCGCTCTATTTATTTTAGCAGTATGTTGTGTCGCAGTGTATGTTCTATTTCTTATACTTGAGCCTTTTTTCAAGCCTTTGTTTTGGGCGCTCCTTGTCGGTTCCATACTTCACCCTTTCAAATATAAATTATCACAAAAATTGAAAGCATGGTTTGAAGATCTCGACAAATCGAACACCTCTGTGATATTTGGTTTGATGATCATCCCAGTAAATGTTGTGAATTTTGCTTCCGATACTGTAGGTCGTCAATTTATAAACCATTATAAGGTAAGTTTATTTTCTACCTACAAATTTCATCTTTGCCTGCCTGATTGAAGAAAAAATAGGTATCCTGTGTCAATCTTGATGATATCACTCATTACCAAATTTTATTGAAATCTATCCAGCCTTTTAAGCATAGTTCACTTACATACATTCTATAAACTTATTAAATTCTATTCTATTAAGAAAAACTAAGTAAACATTAATTTAAACTTTTTTAATAAATTTAATAATAAGATATATCTGATATTTTCATTTGCAATAAAAAAATTTATGTATTTATAATATAAAATACTGACTTTTATGCTATACATAATGCTGTTTACTGTGTTAAACACAGTCATTGTTTTTTTTATAATTTCAGACTGTGATTGGTTTGCTATCAGTAATTTTTGTGTTACCATGGCTATACAACTCTGTGCCACGGAGCTTCTCATGCATTTTTTGGCAACTGAGTAGCTTTGTCAGCTTCTCCACAACTATGCTCATCAGTGTATGCAGCTCCTATATTGTAAGTCCAATATATTTTTTAATTTTCAATAATAATAATAAAAAAAAAAAAAAACAATTAATGAACCTATGTTTGTTTTTCTACTCATTCATTTGCTTACTACATGAAAGTAGTAATTTATAAGAATAGTTTTTAACATACATGTTTTAATTATTTGTCACAGAAATATTTAAGAATTAAGTAGAGTATTTAAGAGTTAGGTAGTTGCCTACTTGAATAACACAGACAAAAAGTTATTTACTATAAATTTTAACCATTGAGTATATTCAACCAGCAATAAAATTCAGTATCATCATCATTTCAGCCATTATCTGTCTACTGCTGAACATAGGCCTCCCTTATAAATTGCTATTAGGAATGATATAGTAAAGATTCAATATAGGGAAATAAATTAATAGAGGCTTTATGAATTGTAAACATAAATTAAAAAAAAAAATCTTTAATAATATATAAACACAAAATAGAAAGTGTTACTATTAAATTAACAAAGCAAATTATAATTCAATTTGAAATAATGTTAAATTTGAATCATTTTCAAAAAGAAGATTCTCATATTAGGTCTATTATTTACTAGCTGTATTCAAAGCTTTGTCAATCATAATCATTATATAGAGTCAGTACAGTATCAGTACTGAATTTTGTTTAAATCCTGTTTAGTAGTTTTTGCTTGAAAGAATAATAATAATTTTTTTATTGCATATAACTATGATCCATTTTTGTTAATAACAATTGAATTAAAATTATGTTAGAAAAACAAAGAGTCGATTGGGCTGTCATACTAATCACATGATCCTTAGTATTAAGTATAATATCATAAATTAACCTCATAAATTTTTGCATTTACAATAACTACTGTTCTCTTACTGTTCTCTTTTTAATCAAAAGGGTTTAGCCCCATATTGATTTCATACAACATTTGTATACATTTAAGTAATATTAATTTTTATGGAAACAAAATTTTAAATCTAAAAATTGTTTTTATTTTAGGCGATTAATATTTTCTCTATTATTAAATGAAGGTGATACTATATATTAGGTATGTACTAAAAATATCCAAACTTCTATGTTTTTTATCTTAAAAATAAATGAAACATTCATAGATTCAATCATAGATTGCATCATGTTATCAATTTACTATGACTGAATTATTTAATAGAATAATTGAGGTCAATTAAGAACAGTGTTTACCACTGGTACTGATGACTATTTGTTGTTTTGTTATTGAAAATAGTTTAAAATTTATTATTTAGTCGCAAAATCGCTGTATATGAACTTATTATGGTGTGTAGCAAAATATTCTATGTACCTACTATAATGTTATTATAATATTAAATAACTTACTCAAAAATCTTATTCTTGGCCACCTATTATCCAAATATATTATAAAATCTATTTTTAAAAATATAAATCTATTATTAAATCATTATTTAATTTGGTGTGAAATATTTAATAAATAAGAACTATTTATGTAAATATTATAATTTGTTTTCATTTACAGACTTTAACAATAGTCTTAGCATACTTTATAAGTGTGTGGACACTTTGGACTCCAGAAAGAGCTGGGTTATTCAAAACGAGCTCCCAATTGTTATGGCTAGTCATAACCAGCTTCCTGGCCAGCCTGTGTGGGTCTTTTAAAGTCTACATGTTTGTGTTACTGCAAATGTTCTGTGTTATTGGCTTTTCCCTTGAAGTTCTAGATGTACATAGAAAGTTACTGTTGAATGGTAAGTAAACACATAAATTATATATTATTATGCTTTACTTTTACCTATAACGGTATTTGCAAGGCTAGGATATATTGATTAATAGGTATAAATAGTAGCATAGCCGTTTTCCAACCCAAATAAAAAGAGTATTCCAAATTTCACAATGATTAATTGAACCATTAAGGTGCCAAGATGTCACAGACACAATCACATTCAAACTTATAATATTAATAAGGATTATGCTTTATTAATCCTTGTTTCAGTTTTTTTTAAATACACAAGTATTTAAAAATAGAAATGAGTTTGAATCTTAATGTTGTGATTTATATCTACACATGTTTATTACTTCATATCACAGGATAATAGGTTTTGAGAACTGGCCAATTTATTTAATTGTGTAGTACTTATTTATAATTTAGGCTGGCAATGTGTTTTTAGTGTCCATGGGCTGTGGTAATTAGATACCATCAGCTGAAATGATACTCCTTTGTTACCTTTTCTAAAAAGGTAGAAAAAAAAATATTATTATTAAAAGCTAACTTCATATCTGCAATGTTTCTGTAATGCTATTACATGGAAAAACGCTCCACTATATATATAACTATCTTTTTCTCACTTATATTTTGTATAATTAATTTCTTACATGTTTCATTAGATCCTGATGCATCAATGGCGCAAGCTTTACACCAAGTAATTACAAATGGCCATTATGAAGCTAGTCCAAAACAAATAGAGGAAAAACCACAAGAACAAGTCCAACCCAGTGTTAGTGACCAAGAATCTACACCAGAAAAAGATAGCCCGTCTCCTACCACCGCGGAATCGACCATAAAAAAAGATAGTTGGTCTGGAAGTGAAACAATACAGAGTTCACCAAGATTTGCAAAGAAACTATATAAAACTCGAACATTGTCTGATTTACCACTTTCGAATACTAGAATGAAGTCACCATATGACAATCGTTTTATTGCATCCTTCAAACAGAGGTCTCTGGATGATAATTACATGAGGAACAATTTTGATAATGATGAAGAAACAGCTTTGTATTTTAAACTGCTTTTCTTTGGTTGTTTATGCATGCTGGTGTGGAAGCATATATGGTTATTACCTGTGACACTATTTTTTATTGCTATTTATGTTATCAAGAGGTTGCTAGAGTATTTTGGTGTGTGGTTATTCTTTGAAAACCACTACAATCACATTGTGGGAAAAATTATGAATTGGTGGAATCTCAGGTAATAATGTTATTTGGTTAATACTAATACTACTAATAAACAGTAAACTCTGTTATGTCTATGGTACTGCTCATGTCTATAGGCGACGGTTACCACTTTCTATCAGGTGGACCGTCAGCTTGTTTGCCATTCTAACTTAACAGAGTATACTTTTTCGCCCATGATACCCTCCTATGCATTGCCATTCCTGAGGACTCGGGTGTTTTTTTTTAATGCGTGAAAATGGTTTGGTAACCCCATCTGCGCTAACGGGATACGCTGGCAGAGCACCAGTGAAGGGTGATAGATGAGAATGAAAACAGGCCAGTTAGCCCATCATGATGAATTCAACAGGAACTAACCATGATAGTTCCCAGGGGGAACCGCGAGGAGGTCGCCTGGTTGAGTATATTGCTAGCAATAGGATTCTCAGTCTCCATTACTAACAATTCCTTTCCCCCTGGACTCGGATGTTATTCCTCTGTACCCTATAAATTCACTGCCATATCCCACCCTTCAAACCGAAACACAGCCATGCAAACAAAACTGCTTCATGGTAGAAACATGAATGAGACAGAGGTGCCCAAGCAAACGACTTTTGTACAAAGTCAATTATATCCCTGTGGTGAATTACTAATTTATATAATTTTTTTATTGTAGAGAAACTGCGTTGATACCAGCCCATATACGAGGCATAGGGAAGATGTTATCAATCTGCAATAACAGTATTCGCGAGATGGCGTATGGTTCCGTGGATACGGTGTCAACTTGCTTCGTCATAGTGGGCCTTATCCTATTTCTTACTGTGGCCATTATATTTATCTGTATACAGGTATTGTTGTGACCATTACTAAAGTGTAAGTTAGTTGTTTAGTATTATCAACCCACTTCAAAAAGGAAGAACTTAATTTGGTGGTATTTTTTGTTACCTCATAACTCTGTCAGTTACAAACCAAATTGGACAATTCTTTTTTTAACTGAAAGTAAACACTTACAGATTGGTTCCATAAAATTTTTATCAAAATTGGTTTAGTAGTTTAATTTTTAAATCAAAATATCTAGTTTTGATACAACTAAAGAGGTTTTTTTTATGGAACACAATCTTAATTTATTTTTTACAGAAAATGATTTGTAATATCTCATATTACAAGCACAAACTGATATCGATTAACCATGATTTTGGAACATACAGATAGAGTGGGATCGATTGAGTGGTACAATTCTTTATCGTTAAAATAAAAATTTCAATTTGATGCCACAGGGAAATCTTTGTTTTAAATACCAATACAAAGTAAATCCTTATTAATATTTTAATGTACAAGTGAATTTATTTGTGACCTCTTAGTACTTTAATGGCTTGACTAATCGTTATAAAATTTGGTGTACATGCGTTATAAGAGAATGTGAAGGATAATAGGCTACTTTGTATCGTGGTCCGTCAACATATCCCGGTCACGTGGCTGAAGTTGCGGGTAAAATCTGGATTCTAATACTTTTGAATTATACTTTTTTTTTTATACAACTTAGAATGGCGAACAAGCTGACGGCCCATCTGATGGAAACTGGTAACCGTCGCCTATAGATATGAGCAGTACCGTGGACATAACAGAGTATTCTGTTTCGCCCATGATACCACCCATGCGTTGCCATTTCTTAGGACTCAGGTGTTATTCCTCTCTCTAGAGACACGAATGGGACAGAGGTACCCAAGCAATCGACTTTTGTACAAAGTCTCCCTCTGGTATTTCTCTCTCCACTTATTAGTGTTATACTATTGATGTCAAGCAAAAATTTTTATTTTGAAGATAGGTTTAAAGAATGTTGCTACAAAATCGACCCTAATAATTATTGTTAGATAGGGCCAAAGCAATTTGCTCTGCAAGTTAGGTTATTAGAAGCTAATAGCTAGGTTATTAATTTCTATAATGAGTAATGCTTGGTACTAATTCTAATACTCTTGGATTCTAATCACTACGCTGCATGTATTTAATTACTTCATATCATCATCATCACGTCAGCCGTTAATTGTCCGTTGCTGAACATAAGCCTTTCCTTTTTCTTTTTTTTTTACAACAGGGGGCAAACGAGCATGCGGCATAAGGCATAAGGGGTGTTTTGTCAGTAGTTGCCACGCTTGACAGGTGTGTTGGAAACTGCAGTTAGGCTGGTGATATTTTAAGAGGAACATTACTGCCCATCCCTCGAGCATTAAGTTCCCTTAATCGTCTCTTACGCCCACTGGAAAGGAAAGGGTGGTCCATTCTATGCCGGGACCATATGGCGATGCATTTATAAGTTGTTCAATATTGTATGCTATTTTCTAGATATATTCAGAAGCGATAGTGGTGGTGCAACTAAGTGGAAGTCTGTTGAACAGCACGTTTGTACAAAATAGTGAACTCCATGCTTATCTTCCTGAAGGATGGGAAGAAAAACTGGACTCCCTTATTGACAATGCTTACACGTATGGCCGAGAAGGAATCTCTACAGCTGTGAGTATTAATTACGTCATAATCTCTTAATTGATGAGTTAATAACTTGAATAAATGTAAGATTTTTATTACCAAGGTTATAATATGAGAGCTCGTATAATTTCATAATGGTACTATATATGTTTGTAAAAGATTATTACATTATTTTGTTTTAATAAATCATATTTTTTTTTAAATAAAAAAGTTTATGCGCCCTTTTTTACTTTATACAAGCAGTAAGTGTTATTTTTCTTATTTTTGTGTATAATGTAGTGTATTTTATATATGTGTAAATATATTTGTTATTTATATATATTTATTGGTTTAAATATGTATATTTTCAATTATTCCTACTAGTTATTATTATTAGTACCACATTTGAGTATTCTGACACTTCCCTAAGGTTGACTAGGAGAGAATGCTTTCAGCATTAAGTCCGCCTTGTACACATACATGTACTAATGAATAAATAAATAAATAAATAAATAATAATTATTACATTTTCTTGTGCAATCGGATACACCAATAACAGATACAGAGATATGTAAGTGTTGAATTTGAATTATCTACAATCACCTAATAAAGCACACTAATATTGATGACCCAACAATTGTGGCTACTTTATATAAGTATTTTTATTTTTATTATTCGCAACACTTTATAGAAAAATATCCTTACTTCACATATAAACTCCTTTATTTCACTTTTAATTTTAATTTTTTTACATATTAATATTTGCAATAGTATGATCTTTTATTTTTTCTGCTTTTAATTTATAGATCAGAAGGTTATTGAAAGAAGGGGAACCGGACAAAGTAGCTCGCGTCGAACAACAAATTTTGGAGATATGGGACAGAGTGTATCAGAGCTGGGTGTCTGGTCATTTCACCTCTCCCATGGGTCCACAGGTTGACGGCACAGCAATTCAGGACTCATGGGACAACTTTGTAAATGATGTATCTAAGACACCTGGTAAGATTTTTTTAACAGTCTTTAAGTTTTCTTAAAGAATGCGACGGTTAAGATAACTTGATGACAATTTACCTAATATAAATACTTACTTAACCTTTTGACTTTCTTGTGTGGTTCTGGATAAAAGATAGTCTATGTCCTTCTTCATCCTAAATACTATCTCTATGCCCAAATATATGACTTGGTGGAGCTGTCAAATGTTAAGTGGTAACCAATAGTCACTTTCACATTTATAATATGACTTATTGTATGACAGGAATTATTTATAAAAAAAAAAATTATGCATTTACCAGGTATCTTCGACTACACTGGAATAGTGACGTGGGTGCAAGAAAACCTTGGCACATTGAGCGCTATCGCCACCGGCATTTGGTCACCACTGGCCAGCAACATGTCTCTTCTAGCGGGCTCAGTGGGTGCCTTCACTTCCCTTCTGTTCTCTGGCGGAGGAGCTATTATTAATATGTTCATTAACTTAGTGAGTATATCTATTTTGTTTCAATCTGTTAATCCAATAAAAAAGTAATTTTATGTGACTGTTATAGACACTTATGAATTTTTATTATTAATGTATTCTATTTTATATTTTTTATTATTTGAAAAGTAATTTCAGCCAATAATTCTAAATTCAATATAAATAATATTTTTTTCTAAATTCAAAGTAAATAAAATTTATTCTAAATTCAAAATAATATACTGATAGGGAAGGCAGTCTTAATCAGTCATAAACAATACTTCTGTTTTATTTATAAATAGTTGTAAATAGCGTCTTTGCTCACGTGAATTAGAATAAAAAGTAATTTATATGATAGCTAATCCAGTGTATTAGTCCACGAGTGTACAAAATTTCATTCATATTCTTTCATAAAGTATGCTATCATTAAGTAGCATGATCAGTTTTCAACATTTACTATTGACCCTTTAAAAAAATTTCTCCTACGGTTAAGTTCACTACGATTACACCAATTGCTTTGTTCTCTTAATCAATTGAATAAAAATTTTTATTTATAAGTCATCAAGCACAACCATTTTACAAACTCCCATATTTATGATTTTATATAATTCTCATTTTTTCGCGCAACTTCGTACACATAACCAGGATATGTTCATTTATAATAATAGTGGAATTAAATTTATATATTTTGTTACTAAATATTTATAAATTAATATTATATTAATTTAAATGTGAAAGTGAGTTTGTTTGTTACCTTATAGCGCCTTAACGGCTTAACCAATCGCTATGAAATTTTGTATACACGTAGTATATAGAATGGAGAAATATATGGGCTACTTTTTAACCTGGTCAGTAGATACATATGTCTACGTCATGCACACGAATACGCGGGTAAAATCTAGTATGACTATAATTATACCAATGTATGTATATATGTTATTGTTATTAGGTTGTATTCTTTACTACGCTGTTCTACCTGCTGGCGTCCAGCAATGCACTATATAAACCTGTCGAGGTGATCACCCAAGTGCAGCCCAACTTCGGTCCGAAACTTGGCATAGCACTCTCAGTGGCAATCAATCAGGTATTGATCGACATCAGACCATTCATTCCCCTCAGAAAAGTGGCATATGAATTTTCTTCACTTTATCGTTACTCACACGAGATAGAAGAAGACGCCGGACGTAATTGTCTTATTCCATTTCACACATACAGTAGCGATAACGCATCTAGCGATAGATTCGTTTTCCACTTGCTTACGGGGCTAAAAATTATTTTAATTCGTTCTCTATCTTTCGTGATCTAACTTAACTAACCAGAGGGAGACTGTATAAAAGTCGTTTGTTTGGCTACCTCGGTCTCATTCGTGTTTCAACCGTGTAACAGTTGTTTGCATGACTGTGTTTTGGTTTGAAGGGTGCCATATGACAGTAAATTTACAGGGGATATAGGCATCACACGTTAGTTAGTCCTCAGGTATGCCAACGATTGGGGGGTATCATGGGCGAAACAGTATACTCTGTTATGTCTATGGTACTGCTCATGTCTATTGGTGACGGTTACCACTTTCCATCAGGTGGACCATCAGCTTGTTTGCCATTCTAATTTGCTTAAAAAAAACTTCACTCCCTGGTAGTGTGTAAATCAATAGCGCAGGCGTAGTTACCTTTCCAATATTAGGTATATACTAAAATATATCCATTTTTATAAATTTAATATCGTGATGGTTTCAAAATACTTTCAACATATTTTATGTACTATATTTCTATATGTATATTTTATATATTACATATATTTCTAGGTATTTAGGGCTTCCTTCAAAATGGCTCTGTTTTACGGACTGTGGACGTGGCTAGTGCATAACCTGTTTGGAGCCAAGGTCGTTTATTTGCCTTCTGGTGAGTACTATTTTTTTATAGTACGACATACAACCACACAATCCTGAGTGAACAATATGATCTATGAATATGATCAATCGAAAATATGTTTTTCTTTCAAATATGGGTAGCACTATGTTGGCTCACTAAGTACTTATTTGATATTGTATCATTCGTACATTTCATCTTTTTATGCATACAGACGACTTGCTTTTATCCCGCTACTTTATACACATGAATTTAAAACATTTTCTGGCCATTTTCAGATGGCATATTTAGATAAAACTTATAACAGTTTTTAAGTTACACCTTTAGGAATAATAGGAACTTAAGCGATGTACGGAACAAACATATAGGCAGATAAAATATCTAAAAATTATTGTTTGTTAAAACTAAATTACTACACCGACTTTGATAAAATTTCTTTTGGACTAATCTATAAATATATTCTTTTAGATAAAAAAATCAAATTGGTTTAGAACTGAAAGTGTTATGAGGTATAAAAAAATACAACTTTTGAAAACCTTCTTTTTGAAGTCGGTTGAAAATAGAGGCATGACTTATTGGATCTCTAATGGTTGGCCAATAATGTTTTCGTTATTTGTTTTGTTGCATATTGGCACAATAATCCTTCTTAGAATGTCAATTTTATGATTTTATTTATATGGGCGTCACATTGTGTTCTGTGTAGTTGATGTCAATCAGTGTTGTTCATGTTTATGATTACCTATTTTCATTAAGTTGGTCGTAATTTTGTTGCTTTTCCAATATATATATTAAAACATTGAATTTATAGATACGAAATAAATAATATTCTTGTTCTTTTAGAAAATAAATAATAGTATATTTGCTTTTCTGCGATAGACATAATTAATTACTACACGCTTATCAGTACATGACCTCGAGAGTCGACTCATAAAGCAGACTGCCTACTAGTAATATTAGATATTAGTGATCTGTAGGTGTGTATGTGAACTAAAAATAGGTACATATACATTTACAAATATAATGATTTGGGTTAATGAAATCTTTTTATAGAATTTATCTTGAATTTTACGTAATATTCACGCTAGCAATTAATGCGGAATATGGAGAACCAAGCATTTTTTGTTATAATTTATTTAAACAATTTCTCGTTACATTTGTTATACTACAAAAATGACAAAGAAGTCAGCCCATAGCCTATGGACTGTGCTTTAGACGTCTGCAGTAATGTTAGGAGTGTCTTGAGCGTGTTGTCGACCTTGAAAAATTCTTGTGTTATTATCTCGTGTTCCGGGATTACTTGGATGTAAAAAAGTATTTTTTTTATATAAATGTAGAGCATTTATAATATAATATAATATTAAGAGATTTAACCGAAGAGAATTTTAAATTTCAAATTTGATACCGGGGTTTGCATTGTTTCGTTTTTAAATAAATTTAAATATTTTGATTACCGTAATGCCTAAAGTATCAAAAATGATGCCAAATGTTTTTTTCAAAATAAATATATAAAAATATCGTTTTGATTTTTTTACTATTTTTTCCCATTAGTAAACACATTAAAGGATGCACTTCTATATTTTTTAATTTGATTTAAAAAATTAAGCTTTTAAGGGTTAAGCCTTCATCTGTTTTGATTTTTGAAGGGTCATTACTTTGTATATTGAGGTATACAAAGTTGAGCATGGATTAAGTCTTTATTATACAAAGTATAAGAGATCAGATCATCACCTGATTTCTTTTTTACTCTTTGTACTTTCCATTATCTAAAAACTTAAAACTACATACCTACCTAGCGAATACCTATTTATATATCTCATCTTTATTTGCACGTAACGTATAATCTGTTATATTAAAAAAATCTCTTAGATATATAGGTACTATAGAATATTTAAAAGTTTGTTTTTATAATAGGTATGTAATTATAATCTATTTTGCCCAGAGTTATGCTTTTAGCAACAACAATTTCTTTTTACGTCATCGTATTTTTTTAAACACTGCAAATAATATATCAACATTTAAAAAATAATGATATGTCATTGAACTAATAATTTCGTCCGAACAGATAAATACTCGCATTTTTTATATTATACGTTTAGCAGAGAATTATCTCTGGATGATATTCATTCGCGTCGGATGTGATACATTTACGCCCGCGTCTTACTCAGTATATTTCATAATACAGAGAAAAATGCCATTGGGTCGTACTATAGAAAATGAATTGCAAAAATATTTTATTTTACGGCATCATCTTACTCCAATCAGCTGTTGGCATCAGAATTAACTTCACAACTTGTCAAAACTCAGAATGGAATTGTGTGAATAACTTGCCTAATGAAATTGTTTATACATGTTCTCTCGTAAGGAGCAACGTAAGTAATACTAGCCAAATTACTATATTTTATTGCAAATACGTTAAGTAAGTAAATGTTTATTTTTATTTGTTTTAGAATTTCATAATACACCTCAAAGATTACTACACGGATCACATAAAGAGTGTAACCGTGCAAAATTGTAGAGACATACGAGTTGTATTGGACTGTCCTATATTGCAGAGACCTTCACAATTACAACGGTTTAAAATAAAGGACTGTGATCGACTCGAATTTGTTTCTTTGTCCACTAATTCTTTGTTACAAACTCCGCCTGAGGTTACAATAGAGAATGTTAGAGAAATCGTGTCATTTCCGAGACAATTATTTAAATCTCCGATAACGAATACTGAATTAAAGTGTTCAGGGTCAAGTTCACTAAAGAAAATACGAATATTAAATAGCAAAATAAATACAATTAAAACGAGAGCCATTTACAATGTCACTGGAATAAAAAGTATCGAATTTCAAAATGTAACAATATCTAATATTGAAAATCAGGCAATAGAAACAATTATGGGCAATGATAATACAGTGTTTTCAATTATCAGCAGTAATATTGATAACGTAAACTCTAAAGGCATAGTAATACAGTGCGCATCTGCTACTATAGCTGACAATGTGTTTGGAGATATAATGGCTAATGTAATAAATATAACATGCGATTATTTACGTGTTACTGGTAATAAGTTTAAAACGATTACAGGTCTTGTATTTAATTCCGCTAACATTAATATAAGTAATAACGATATAGACTCTCTTAAAAGCACTGCACTTGCTGCCGTCAAATGTTCAAAGAAAAGAGCGAGGAAAAAACAGTTTAATTTTTCAAGCAATCGAATTAAACATGTAGAGCCAAATTCACTTTTATTTGATTATAATAGTTGTAAAAGTGCAGCTGCAACTGTAATATTTAGTCAGAATAAAATAGATTGTAAATGTCGGAATATAGCATTCTTGAACTCGGTTTCTTCAAATCGCGAGCTAAGCAATATCATTTTGGATGTAACTTCGAATAATACTTGCCTACATGTTCCATGCCTACTTCCTGTAGATATCGTAAAGTTGCTACAAGAGAGCGATATGTGTCAACTGAGCCTCGATAATAAAGTTATGTGTTTACTATATAATGATAAGCATTCGAAGAATAATGAAGTAACAACTGATGAAGAAATCACTGTACCACCTCCAACTTTCTATTTGATAAGGCAAGCTAATTTGAATGACGGTGACGCGAGCGCACCTATGACGGCTGTAGATAAGGACGATCTACTCAAAGATAGTCATTTGAATATGACAAACAGAACGACTGTTAAAATTGTGTTCGATTCATCCAGAGATTTTGTGGAAACGTTGAGAAGTACTGGTACTAATAGAGCTAGGAAAGTAGAAGTACACGATCCTTCTACTAAAAATGAATATACCAGTCGTAATAGAAATACAGTGGCACACGACAAGCAGAAAGCATTAGACTTCTACAAATATGTTTACGCGCAGTTAAGATCTCCAAAACCAAATGAAAATAAGAAAAGGAACTGATTATTTTATAAAATTAAATAAATATTGTTTATTTACATATAGTTGTTTTTGTTACTTATTATACGTTGGGAATTAGCTTGTAAAATTTTACTTGTCTCATGTGATATTTCATGTATTACGCCAAATCATACATAATCTCACAAAGAGTGCTACAAAATACTCTATAGTGATATCGTAGGTAGTCGCTGCATTCGAATTTATTCGTGAATCATCGGCTGCGTTCGGTTAGTAGTGACTGGAAATTGCAGCACAGAGCCAACTGGGCCGTACAGAACGGGCAAATAGAGACTTTATCACACTGTTATAAAGTCTCTATTCGCTCGCTCTTATAAAAATCATAATTTATATTTTACTTTTCATAGCAAATAGTAGCGAGGGCGACATTAAGTCATTGCTAGTGAAAATCTCGTATTGTGATTTGTAGCAGCTGATATCATAGTGTATAAACATTAGAATTTCCCTAAATGTCAATGAATAAAATATAGTAATAATTTCAATGCCTATTAAATACTAACAACATGAAGTTTTTAAAAGTAATTCTACAATGTGTAAAGGATCTATGTAGATAAAAATAATGAAAACATTGGAAACATCTGATCGGATAAACATCTGATATCTGATGTCTATAAGTTATAGTAACTGACCGAAACAATTTAACATTGTAGTGTTTATTTGATCTTGATAAAATTTTTAACATACATAGTAAATTTTGAATACAGCATTTTATACTCGGTAATAAGTAAAATTCGAATATTGAGAAAGATGGAATTATTTTTTTTTTATGATAAACTTGGTCAATACGCCACAATAGGTTATGGCAACATTAAATCGATATAGTAAAATTATTTATAAATATTATGCTTGTGTTTTTTTATCTTTAGTTTCAATTATCTAATATTAAATGACAGCACTTATCCCTTTTTGAATATTTTATATTACACGTAAGCCTTATAAAAAATATGTTCACGACTATAATCCCTAATGAGAGAAACTCTAACGTAACTCTCGACGTTGTAATATTTCGCCGAAGATATTTTAAAATTTTCAAGTATATTATATAACCTTCAATGTTCTAAATTCTATATAATCAAACAAAGAGCTTAGTAGAAACTCAAACTATTTTCATAAGCACAATTAGTTTAATTTTTTATGTGACGTAGTACAAGAAATACGTGTAAATTCTTACCTTTGTGTGTGTTTATGGTGATAATTCACAATATTTTTGTACTACAAAGGGGGCCAACAGTGTACCTGTGTAAGAGAAGGGAAATTTGAAATATACTATATAAAATCGATTGGTTCACATGGCAATAGTAGGCTAAAATCTTCCTTTTATATAGAGACCCGAGACAGGTATTTGTTGAGCTGATAATGACTTAGTGATGACAGTTCAGTTGGATAACGTTTGAGCACGGTTTGGATGCCCCTAGATCGAATTCCAATCTCTCAAATTTCCAGCATTAAATAATTTAAAAATTACTGTTTCTAGCTCTCTTGCGCGCAGTAGGTTTTGGAGGGCACGTAAAGCCGTCGTTTGGTAATATATATCAGAGGCCTTAAATCAAAGTAACAAAGGCTGCCTCTTAATATGAGAAAGCACCATCTTTATACAAGTAGTAGTGTAAGCGGTAATGGGCTATTAATTTTAATTAAAAACAATTTTTTTTTTCAAACAAATTGATTTATACATTTCAGTACTAGCGGCAGTGTTAGGAGCGGCACCGTTCCTCGGCCCCTACTTAGCTGGCATACCGGCAGCTCTGGATGTGTGGCTGCAGGGCAGGCCAATGGCTGCCCTTCTTCTGCCCATAGCACAAGCGGCTCCTATAGCATTCCTGGATGCAGCTGTTTATGCCGAAATTAAAGAGTAAGGATATGTATATACTTTGAAATATAGAATACAGAACTTGTGTGACTAATATTTTTATTAGATAGATATTAGAGCATTCAACATAAGTAAAGGTTTTGTTCTAGAAAAAAAAAACTGTTCTTAATCGTGACAAAACCAATGATTTAAAAACTAAATTACTTAACTGATTTTGATAAAATTTCTTTGGAACCAATCTGTAAGTATATTCTTTCAAATAAAAAAAATCCAATTCGGTTTATAACTGATAGTGGTATTAGGTAACAAACATAAAAAAAATACTACCGATTTGAGAACCTCTTCCTTTTTTAAAGTCGGTTGAAAAGATGCACGATTTAAAAATATGTTACAAAAAATCTTATGACGGCACCACTGCAAAAAATGACATGAAAATATATTTAAATATTTATTATTTACACAATTATATGTATTTAATTTTCCAGCGGTGGCCACCCATACGTGACGGGGCTTGCCATTGCCGGCGGTATTTTCTACCTCGGGCCCGAGGGCGCTATACTCGGCCCACTACTCCTCTGCTGTCTAATGGTGGTCCTCAATCTCTCCTCCACTTTCCTCAGAGACACTCCTTCCGAGGAACGAGCGGCTCTACACTCACGGGCCAGGTAAAACGATGCTCTCAATTTTTGGTGAATAACTTTAAAAGAAAATTTAAACATGATTTGGGTTTAAAACTATCAGCTTGACAGCTATGAACAGGCTTATTTATGAGGACTCATCCCGTTATCTAACAGCATTTTAGTCAAATTTCAACAAGAATAAGTAATTTTTAAAACAATTTAGGTTTATTCTTGAAATTAAACCGAAATGTTTTTGGGTAAATAGTGCATATTATATATATATATATATATATATATATATATATATATATATATATATATACCGGATTTTATTACTAACATTCTATGGTATGTGTCTTTTTAAAGGACGAATAAATTTTTGCTTCTTTAGCCAATGAAATACGATTAATAAACAAGTGTTAAAAAAAAAAAGAAATTAAATTGATTTTATTTATTTTGACAACCAATACAATTGCTGGTTGTATAACAAATAATTAATAGTAAACGAATTATCTGTCATACTCGTGAACGAGGGCTGCTCCTTCTGTTATGTTTGCGAGTGTATTAATTTACACTTAATATACACATAAATATTCTTTTGTAATACATAAAAATTGTAATCAGTTCGAAATGAGTAACTTTTGCCTCTTTTTATTCCGCAATGTGAAGGCGTAACATTATTCGTTATGACACATATATCAAAATTGGCAATTATAGTTACATATTATTTTATGATTGTATTATCACATTGTATAGGAATGGTGTATCTAGTGTGTGCTATGGATACAATGGATTTTCTATTTGATAATTTCTATGTGATGCGAATGAGGTCTGGTTCTTAATAGTTAATTTTTAACAGTAATAATTGATAGACAATATATTACTATTTTTTTTAATTAAATTATAATGTACTAGTTACATAAATATTAAGTTCTGGAAGTAATGCATTGGAAAGAAATTTAATAATGGTTATCACAGTGAACAGGTGGCTATCAGCTTGTTTATAAAATTTCATTCTAAGTTTTATAAAAGAATTAAAAAAATAACGTAACATTAATCTTTACTAATAAGTATAATTTGTTATAGAATTTTAATGCTATAACCAATAGTTATAACATTTGGTATGGAGAAAAATATAGGCTACGATAAATCCTGGTCAAACAGTATATCCTGATCATGGAAACGAATTCGCGCGGAAAAGTTAGTGTAGAATAAAACATATGAAATCAGTCCCACAGGAAGTATGCATTAAAAACACAAAAACGATCTCATACGTTTACACATGTTATCATATTAAATTTATAATAGCTGTGTATAACACAGACGATAAGGCAACATCGGTGATATCTCTTGGGTGTTACGTGTTATATTAAGCATGTGAATCAGGTTTTTTAATTTGTTCGGTGGCCTAATTGTGAGTCACAATATTTCTAAATTTATATTATCTACTCGTAGTTCAACAATTGTATCCTGTTTAATAAGAATCTTATCTTAATTGCGTATCAACTATCACAATATTTTTGTCATATTTGTTTTGTTTGTTACATAAAAATGGGACATGTTATTTATTATAATATTTTATAGATACATACGACTTACTATCTATTTAACAGCGTCTTGACGGTTTAACCCATCGTCATAAAACTTAACACACAAGTAGTATTTTTTTATACTTTATTTGCATTATATAATATAGGAAGTAAGCAAGGCAATTAATAAATTCAACGATACAATTGTATAAGTACAGTAAGGCGGTTTTATTACTGAGAGCAATCAGTATTTGTAGTGGAGAGGGACATAAGTTACCTTTAACCTGGGTAAACTTATTAATTAACGTATCTAATCACGTGTCTAATCCCATGTAAATTGCTTTATGTTAATTTGGTAAATAAAATCGAACATTAATGTTACTAAACAAAACAAATTATTAAAAAAAAAAACACCGGATCAACCAAGTAATAATTTATGCTAATTATTTATTAAACATAAGAAATATACAATATCATTACGTTGGACCCCTATTTTAAATTGGAACCTATGAATTTTTGTATATGTTTATAAAGTTCATGAATATGTGAAGCAAAAGCTCCAACCATGCTATATCATCATCATCATCATGCAATATTATAAAAATCATTATTTAGATACTTATAATAAATATTTAATTTATTATTGAATGATCAACAAATTTATTATTGATGAAAAAAAAAACTTGTGGAAAACAGCAGCGTGGTTTGTTTATTTATCCTCAATCAATCTGCTTCGCCTAACATTCACACAATAAAAAAATGAGAATTGAGAACTCCTTTTTAAATATCACAATCTTTTATACTTCTTCATGCATTATTTCCAGACAGAAATAATTAAAATATACAAACCTGTATTATATTAATTACATGAAGGTTACTGTTGCGATTTCACATAAATTGTACTTATGTATAATATTATCTTTTTTGGCGACGTTTTGAAAACAATTGTTTGCCATAATTATGAATTATATAAAATAATAATATACACAAAAAATGAACTAATACTAATTTGTATTTGATTGATTTATATTGTATTTTATGGTTGTTAAGTCAGTTGAAAATTATATATAATTAATTGTCTTTCATATACCAGGACTTCGTTCGCAATTACACTTTGTAAATAATACTCAAATGGTAATCTCTTTGATTGTAATTTGTAAAATGATTTCGCATTTTGTTGATTTAGGTCATTATTGGGATTATTTAATTATTAAGGTGTGTATTAATAAAATATTTTTCAATATTTTTTATATGTTTTGTTCCAAATTTTAATGGATTATTTATAAGTATTATGTAGATTTTTATTGATACATTAGTCGTAATATGGAGACCTCCATGGGGCAGCAGTGGGCAGTTGGCTTGCGTAAATTAGTCACCGGGTTTGATTTTTCTGCACTGGCTCGGGTCTGGTTGTTTTAAATTGTGTTCTCGGATGTTCATTGCCTGGTTCTTCAAAACGTAGGGTATTCATGCTTGAGGAGCAGGCAGTTAGTGTGATTGTACTGTATTTTATAATGTGTCAATAAAAAAAAATGTAACGAATATCATTCTGTTGAAATATAATGAACGAAAGGGACAAAACCTGTAAAAAGTAACTTGTATGTTAGCTGTTTATGCACTAATTCTGTATGTTTAGTGTTAGTTCCTGAATTGAGCACCTGATGATTTGTGTAGTTTTCTGTTTGTTGGTAAGCACTTGAAAATTATTGCATGTATATATGCATGATTAGTATATCATTGAGACCTAGCCCCTGATGTTGGGTTTTATTTATTCTTGTAATTTTTTCTATATCTGCTTTTATTTTTGCATGATTTTATATATTAACAAATCAAAGGATTAATAGTGCATAATATTAATTTACTAGATAACAATTCACAAAGAATTAACTGAGAAGAAAGGGAAAGAGTATTAATTAGTTCACTACAAATAATTCTAATACTAAGTGTGTATAAATGGTACAAAACTTTATTATACTACTGACGTATTTATTTTATATTTATTTACTTTAAAATCGCACCTTTTAGAGAATTATTATGAATTTATTACTGCTTCTCATGAATTTATTAATATTTCTATTCTTTGATTTCGGACATGCTTATATAATATAATCATGAATCAAAAGTAAATCAAGACTTTATGCATAATTAAAAAGAAGCATAACTAAAAAGAAGGTACCTATGTAATAAATATACGTATATATACTGATACACTCACATGCATACACACACTAAGCACGCACGCATGTACTATGCACGCACGCACGCACGCACGCACGCACGCACGCATGCAAATTCGCATACACAAAGGTAGAGACGCACTATATTATAACTAAATTGCCGTTAACGAATTATAACATGATTTTGAATACATACAATCACGCACGATGATGTATGATTATTTTCACTTTTGTTTTAGCTCGAAGTCCATTTTTGGAATAATTTGTTATTAAAATATTGTATATACAGATTAAAATCAAAATCATTAGCATCTTTTAGGTAGTCCTTTATCAATGAATTTCTACATTTCAATTATAGGCTTGATAAACAAAAAAAAAAAAGAAAAAGAAAAAAAAAGTCATACTAACGGGCCTTAGTTTTAATATTAAGCTTAACTGGCAGAACACTTAACTAACTAACGATTTTCTTCTTCATCTTATATGTTTTCGTATAAGTAGTAATTGGTTTATGTTTGTATTTATTAAAATTTATTAAGTATAATTTATATTTTAGACTCTTCTGATCTATAATATAATACAGTCGCATAATAACTTAATAATGTATTAATTACTTCAGATTAAATCAATGTAATCAATGTGTTTTATATTTTATAACGTAATCATAATAAATGTATATTTGTTTGCAGGCTCGGTGTTTACCTCTGATGGGCTTGCATGGGCGATTAATGCTAATATTATTTTCATAATGTCAGATGTTATATGCAATGTTGGAATAAAGGTAGAATTTTAACTAGTACCATTGTCATGTTCTACAGCGTAAGGCTTGATCAAAGTTGGTGTAAATCAGAATAAAATGTTATAATTTTAACAAAGTTACCAGTTTCAATATGATACGTATTTACTAGCTGAAATTAATAGTTGCATGAATACTATGTTGTATGAATCTTGTATTCGTATATGCATATAAGGTTTATTCCTCCATATGAACGCACACGTAGTGATGTTATGGTAAATTAAATCTTAATATAATGACACATTAGGTCAATAATACGATTAAGGTTTGCACAGTAAAATTAATAATTAAGTCTAACGTCAACATTGTTGCTCATGGAGTAAATAAACATGTCACAAAATTATGGCCGACTGCTAATATACAATAAATTTTATGTGAAGTTTTTATAGTCGATCTTATGATTATTAAATATATATGAGTAAGTATTAAGTATATATATATATATATATAAATTTACAAGAAGACATTCAGTTCAGAATTGACGGCGATATCGTGTGACATGATGATATATATACACACGAAGAAAAATTACCATAAATTGATAACCTGTATCTTTTTTAGTCACTTTAAAAATTAGTAAATAAAAAGTTACATAATACTGTTCAGATATAGTTAAAAAAAACTATGTTTAATTAATACCTTACTTAGCCATCATTAGTTAAAAACATAGATCATATACAGAAAGATGAACGGCCATCATACGAATACTTCGCCAAAAACATTTGTATGACTCCATACATCCACTATTAGCATATTGAGTTTTGGATAAATTTCAACGGAAATTGGCATAGCTTATAACAATTGAGTTATGCACAATATATTAATCGAAATCGCAGATGGTAAATTTTTTACGAGTACCTATTATAGTAGAAATAATTGGAAGTAATCATGCAATATTAACGCTATAATTAATAACATATTCCAACGAAGCCATATTTTATGTATAATGTTATTCTTATAGCATGAAATGTAAATAATTTATATAAATTATTATACGAATCACCAAGAGTTATCTGTGTTTATAGTGGGTCCATTCTGAGATAAGAATAAAAAAAAATATATAACCAAATCGTTATCGTAAGGATCAATATGAGCTAAATTTCTAATAGATTTCAGTTACAGTTAATTATAAATTTAGTTTATAATGGTCCATAAAACAATAATTTTGCAAAACTATCAAATTAAAATATTGGGTTAAGAGAATTTTAAAGAAATGCCGACCCAGAATCGACCCCAGTGTTCGTTTGAACTAGTTGCATGTAATCGTGAAACTTACTCACGTGACGTCTATAGTATCGTAATATTAATACATATTATATGTAATAACATCATAGTTTTACAGATAAAATGCCTTATAAATTCTTATATAGAAGAAATGAAAAGCCTAAGTAAAAGCCTACAAAACATAATAATTGTAGTTAAGTATTTGCCGTCTGAAGAATCTGGTAGTAACACGGAATCTGCGGAATGCTAGGTGAGAGATATGATTAGAAAATTGTAGAACCAAGTTTACTGTTCCGTATCCAATGTCTAAAAAATTCTTCAGACTCGCATTCTCCGTGTAGGTACATATTTATCACATTGTCAAATGATCCGTTATATATAATTCTTGTATTGTATTTTTATTAAATTGTATCTCCAAAGAGTTTCGTTTTCTGAGTTTTATGTGCTACAGAAAACTCAGTTTGAAAAATGTCCAGATTATTAATTTTGATTCCATCATCTCTAATCTTAGTCATCGTTGATGAAGCTTGGAGTCACGGTGCAATACGTCTTCTTGCTCTCTCTTTCTTATTGAACTAGATTTTATTGCTATCTAGCTTAGTAAGTAATATCCAAGCTGCAACACAATTTGAAAATTTTAAACCAAAGAGTAATACTATTATTTATACTACAGAATTATATATTTGAGAAATAAGAAAATAATTATAACATTTGTGATTATTTTAAATGGTGCTTATTAGAATACGATGTGTTACTAATTAAACCCCTTGTTATAATTTCAAAATTTATTTTGAAATTGTGTAATATTTTCAAAAATCTTTTACAATGTTAAAATAGTGATGATCAACGTTCATGTTTGAATTAATATACATTAATATTATTTTTTATTGCTATAAAATTGAGATAAGTTCAAGATTCTTGAAGTCAGAGTGACGTTTTCAATATATTTGTTCTGCTATAGATTTTGAAACTAGCAATTTTGTAGCATTTTTCATGAATTATACAAATATGTAGATATAAGATTGAATGTTGTCGTCGGAAATGAATGTCATTCCGTTTATTTATTGCTTTAAAGTTCTATATGTATATTATATGTAATAAATCTTAATTCAGACTCAGTGGGGCTACTCTTAAATTCTTAATAAAATTCCAATAAATTTATATTAAAATTGAGACGTTTCACACTCTCGAATTGCAATAATAGCGACGTAATGTTTCTATATTGTTGTGATAGATACATATTAGTGGAACTTATATTGTAAACTATTGTAAACTGATCCCAGATATAACTTAATTCCTAACCGTTGTTTCATAAGTGCAGCATAAAATTGTCCTTGGCAATGGATTGGATTGATATTGGATTCTAGAGTAGACCTGCTGATCTATAAACTATATTTTTAGTCTTCGTGTGGACGTTTCAGTTCAGATATTAAATGTTTGATCACAATTTTGCTACATTAATGATCTTGAAAAAAACAAGAATCTAGAAAATGCTATTTTTAATAATATTTGTAATGATTTATAATGTTTTGTGATAATTTTGTATATTTATATTTGCTTTTTTACTAAAAATAAACCTTATTGTTCATAAAAAGTCCAATGCTCTTATAAACTTTTAGCTATTGCACTGTTTTGTCTCTTTCTTCAGTGCTAAATACTCAATGTGAAAGAAAGTGATAAAACAGTGTAATAGTTAAAACGTGTTTGTAGAAGGTTTTAGTTTTTATGAATAAAAGGGCTAAAAATAACGCGGACGACATACATATATTCACTTTGCTATTTAAAAAAAGTACTTAATTACAATGTACACAAGTAGCTGTAATGGCAACACTAAATTTAACGTCAAGTGCTAGATGCTAAAGATGTTCACTTTCATGAATAAAATCGAAAAAGGAATGTAAGATATCTTTTTCGTTACACCTTGCAATATATCAAAAATTAAAATAGTGTTGAAATTATAGCTACTGCTGAATTTTATCTACTAATTTACTCGAAATATATAAGCAACGCCATATTCGATATTTAAAAAAAAATATGCTATTAAACCAGCCCTTACCAGTTCATGAAAAATCGTCCAAAGATTATTTTAAAAGCACTGCTGCATGATATTATATTGCAAATATATTCGTATTTAATTACTTTGAAATAAATATATTAATTTGCTTCCATGTTTTATTTATAATCACATTATTCTAATTGTAATTGAAAATATGTGTGATGTTTTAAACTGTATGATATATAAAATACTTAGAGTAGGTACGTTATATTTTATACTAAATCTATGGTGTAATAAATCTTATAAGTGAAACAGTAAATGACTTCGAAAAATAATTCTCATACGGGAACTTAATTACCTATTTACTAGATAACACTGAAGGAATCTAAGGTGTATAAAACAGATGATATATGTATAAAAGAAAGAAAAAAAGAGGTAGAATAGCAAACAAACACGGCTCATCCGATGGAAAGTAATAATCGCCGTCTAGTCATGAGCAGTACTACGTCATAGTGTATTCTGTGATGTTCATGGTACCTTCTACGCGTTGCCTTTCCGAAGATAAACTTATAAAAATTGCAATAATTGTATTCTAAGAAGAAGAGTTGGACCTATGGTTGACTGGGAGAGAATGCTTTTAGCATTAAGTCCGCCATGTACACATATTTGTACTAATGAATAAATAAATAAATAAAGAGTTGTTCTTTAAAAAATGTAATTTCTGGAATATCACCCGTGGTATTACGTCTGCGGGGTTTGCATAGGATAGTAGATAATAAACATGACTGGCCATATTCTTCACCCCAATATTCAACACCCGTGTGTCTGCTTACCTATATCTAAATAAATATTATAAAGAGATTTTATTTTTTCTATGTTTGCAATAGATGACTATAAAGGATGCGAAATAAAAAACCGATTTTTCGATGCTGCCTATGCACTGACAGAGCACGCACTACAGCACTACTGTGCTCAGTATTTATTTTTTATTTATAAAGGACTGTATTAAATAAGTGGTTAAATTTATATTAGTGTACAGGTAAAAATAATAATAAAAATAAACTAAAATCGTAGTGCGTCGCCTACAGATGATATTAAAAATTATTCAAACGATTTTAATAATTCTTTCACATATAGAAAGCTACATTATCAGCGAGTAACATAGATTACATATTATATATTATTAGATAATTAAGAGATCCCTACGAAAATTACAATAATGTAACCCAGTGTCAAAAATTTACTTCTAAAATTTAATATAGAATACTAATTTATATATTAACTCGTGCGAGGCTAAGGCGGGTCCTAGCAATGTTTTTATATTTTTAAATATTATTTATATCTCAGATTTGATATATATGTAGATTTTTCTACTAGCCAAATTGAATATGTTTCCTTATTAAAAATGGAGCAAGACTTAACGTTGGACATTCTATATATACTAATATATTGTTATCAAGATAGCAAACTTTTCTGACGATTACCACCAAAGTTCTGTGGTAAAGAATATTCAGTTTCATAACAATTTCAACCTGTATAGAATGATATAATATGCCTAATTGTAAATAGCTTAAACGTACTTCAGACACGCTTTGGCGAGTGACTTGCAAGTTGCAAAACTTTGAGCCCTTCCGAGATATTTTTTCATCATGGCAGTGACTGAGCAAATCACGGTAGCCCTTGCTCTGTATACTTATCATTTTTTTACTGGACGTATAGAAGCTTAGTAATAAGCTGTCCCTTGTATTTATAACACTTATGTACCCAATATTTAAGTCGCAAACAAAAATCTTACAAATATAATAAAGTTGTAAATAGACGATTCTGTACATGGAAGATATTTACAAAAATTTATATTAAGGGTAATAAGGGTAGTACTTACAAGTCATAACAATATTTTTTAGAATTTTTTTGTCTGTTTATATGTTTGTCCCGGCAGTTGTTTTAAACTATCAGCAGTATTTTTGTGTGACGTCGGATCTAATTGGATGATGTTTTCACAGTTTAGTTCCTGAAGATCTAGCTAAAAATCTGCTATTTGTTTTATCTTGATACGCGATTTAGAAATAGTCTACTTTATAGTTTTTCTTATTTCTGAAATCCACGCGTACGAAGTTGTAGGTAAGAAACTAATTTTGCAATAAGTATTGTAAACTAATTTAAAGTCTGTTTAAATCTCAGATTGGTACTTCCAGTCTTTTAGTATATAAGTATGTTATACCAAGTCTGTGGTTTTAACAAAACTTAATGAAAAGGTAATCAAGTTTTGTAGAAATTAGGTACCACAAAAACACTAAAATTAGTCAGAAATCGAAAGTTTTAAAGCAAATAATTTTTTGATATCTGCTGTTATTGAACATCAGCAATATATTGTCATAGTCGTAGAATACTGACGGATCTGACGAAGATTACATATAAAGATCCGTCACTATTCTATGACTATGACAATATATCAATATAAGATACAGTTCGATTAAAATAGACTAAAATTTACTCTAGATTCTAAATTATATACCTAATGTTTATAATATTAGATATAATTTAGAATAAATAAATAAATAAATAAATATATACGGACAAATCACACAGATTGAGCTAGCCCCAAAGTAAGTTCGAGACTTGTGTTATGGGGATACTAACTCAACGATACTATATTTATAATAGATACATATATAGATAAACATCCAAGACCCAGGACAATCAGGAAAAGATCGTTTTCCATCATAACCTGGCCGGGGATCGAACCCAGGGCCTCCACGTCGCAGGCAGGCGTGTTGACCGCTGCGCCACGGAGGACGACATGCAGTCTGCAGAATGCAGTCACTTTAGGCACTTCAGTTGACTCATTTCGAACCGTCTTAGTCTTTTATTACGTATATTAATATGCAAATGATTTTAATCAAATAATATTTTATATAATTCCTTCCTTTTAGCGCAACTTTAAAAACTGATATCTCACAAGATATTGTTTGATTATTCTATTATTTAAAGTCGCGGAGAACGCTGAAGTATTATTTTTTATTTTTAAAACGTAATGTACAAATCTTTGGAATGATTATCGCGTAAGAAAAGAAGCGGGGCTCTAGGGGTTATAGACATCTATTAAGAACGGTGTTTTAGAAAAATAAGAACAAACTGATGTTGTAGGTTACAAAAAACTTTTTTCTGTGCATATTATTATTGTAAGGATGACAAAGAGTAAAAATTTTTTTTTCTACCACGAAAGTAGCATATAAGTATACAGCCACATTGGATCTATTAATGAACTTATACTTAACTAGGGCGGTTCTAATCATTGATGATCAGCGCCTTACAGTCTGACTCGACCCACTGAAACTGCGTAGAGATGTTGTATCTCTGTGCATCTTCTACCGAATTTATCATTTGGAGTGCTCTGAGGAATTGTTCAGATTGATACCTGCTGTTGATTTTCACCACCGTATAACCCGCCATAAACGAAAGTTTCATCCCAACCATCTGGACGAGTGGCAGTCTTTCATCGTGCGTTTTTCAAGGCACTTTCTTCCACGTACAACCATTCTTTGGATTCATCTTTCAACAGTAGTATTTCCGAACCGATATGATATCATAACCTTCAAGAGCATATTCCTTTTTAAAAGGCTGACAGCACACCTGCAATGCCTTTGGTGTTTGTGAATGATCATGGGCGGCTGTAGTCTCTGATCATCAGGTGAGCCGCATGCTCGTTTAACCCCTGAGTTGTACAAAAAAAAACTCGTGCTATGGGCATCGCAGTGTATTTGGTGATGTGGTGTCATTCATGACTAAAGGGGATGATTAATTTTGTAACATAGAGCATGTATTTGTCATTTCAATTTATTTAAAAATTTCAAATCTAAACGCAAATAAGCCAGTAGGGAATAGTGCAGAATATAATTTTACTAATCTCAAATCTTGATCTCATCAATGGGAGGAGGAGGAGGGTTATATAAATATCAGAATTGTGTAAAAAAAGAATTTATACAATTTGTGGATGTTTTTTATTATAGTTGTCATTCCCTTAGTAATTGTCATAAGACTTGCGCGGCTTGGGGCATACCCGTTAATTAGATGCGACATATGCCATAGGGAATATAAGAATTGAGCAATTTATAATTTTAATCTAATGTCACTAATAATTAAGCCATCATTTCCTACTTAGGTGATGATTACATTTGCCTACGTAATATTGAGTATTTATATTATTTTCATAACAATGAGTAACCGGAGTGGCCCTCAGGGAGGAAAATATCTCCATAGTACACGTATGTATATGTACACATTTTAAGAACGGTACATTCCGACACGTTCGTAATGCGATGTTAATATATTCATATATTTCGTTGCAAAGCCAGTTATTATGACGCGTCAAGTTTCTAGCGTTCAAAACATATTCTTATTTATATTACATACTATATAAAGTATCCTATATGCTAAGTTAGGATATAATCTACCTGTGTACCAAATCTCTTCTAAGTAGTTTTTGACAGTGAAAGAGTAATAAATATCCATCCAACCATCGTTTTCTAACATTTTATATATGATTCTTAGATTAATATAACTTTTTTTATTTATGAACCGATTGAAATAAACACAAAATATTAAATAGAGCAAACCGCAATGCATTAGTGAAAACAGCGTTTAAATCGGTTAAGCTGTTTCTGAATCTAGCGTGTACAGTGTACAAACAAACAGACAAAAATTATAAAAATCAATATTTTGGGTTCTATTGCCCCCCTATAATCGTTTTTCTTATATATCTTCCATGCACAGACAGCGACCAGTTACGATTTTATTATATTTATTAATTAAAAATTAATCGGTGATTTCTCTGCCTACGCTGCAAGGGATTACATACAGGACACACATACACACATTCTGTACGTGTGTATGATTCCTATCATGTCGACTCTCCTTAGAAATACTCGTAGTAGGTTCCTAGTATCTTCACTGTAACGGGAAAACTAAACCGACTTCTTGGGCATTATATCATTTTCACTGATGCTTTTAATTATAGTGTATGCAAGTAAGTCCAGACGGTATTTCATGTTCTACTATTAAAAATAAAAATTGTGCGTACTTATATATAAGTATTACAAGCATACTATTAAAAGAGTTCAGAGTAATCTTTAGGGATCCGAGGTCGTGCGGCCATTGTGATACGCAG